GGAGCTGCTTTTCCTCTCTAAAAAGGACTAAGAAGGATTAGCAGAGATTTTTTCCCCTCCAGGTCTTGTTCGGTGTACGATCAAAACATGCCCAGAGGAGCTCATTAGCTGTCCAGGATATCAAGTGTACATCACCTCTGACCATCACATGGGCTTAAAACTGCCTCATTTGGCTTTCTATCAAAAGTTCTCACTGAAATAGGTTCTCTGATGGTTCTGTGTAAATAATAAGCTTTAAAACATGCATTCAAACCCCCCCCCCCCCCCAACAATGGATGCATGTTAACAACCTCCCCCCTTGTACTGTATCATATGCTCATCACAGCTGGAGGCTTCATGTATGATACTTTACTCCATCTCACTCACTTTGAGGAAAATCTATAAATTATTGACATTGTGATCATTTTGGCAATCCTCTGAACAATTTAAGCATTCTTATTCATCATTTATCTACTGCATTTTGAAACCACAAACACAGGGGAGGATCTGTCGGTCTTTTGGGAGTAAACAGAATAATTTATGTGCCATAGAGCTCTCTCTCTCTTTGTATCTCTCTCTCTCTCTCTCTCTCTCTCTATATATATATATATATATATATATATATATATATATATGCATATATATATATTTGAGTTAAGAACTGTCCTTGTTATGTAAGACTGTTGCTGCTGTCAGACTATGAAATAGCACCCTGAAGCTCGTTCAAACTCTTAGAGAAGTTTTTTTAGATCTGGGTTTTACTCTTTTAGTATTTTGACTGAGTTTGACAAAGGAAGCACTGGAGCTTGACTGTTTAAACTTGAAACACTAATTTCCTGCTTTTCATCAGGACCAGATGCTGCAAGAAAAGAATTAAAGATGCATTTGGCAGTTTGAAATAAAAGCTTTTCTTTGGTGTGGTGTTTAATGCATGCAGTTAAAACCAACTGAGGGTCCAGGTTGAGTACCTCTGTGGACTAATTGTGGTTAACATCTTTAAGCACAAAGCCAAAACCAAATGCAGCATTTGAAGTTTGAAGTTTGAAGTTTATTTCGATCTGGTCATATCCATTCAATATATACAGTAAATTACAAGAAAAGAAAAAGAAAAAGAAAAAGAAAACCAGACCGAAAAGGCATAGGCTGAAGCAAAAGCTTATTAACGCCTATCCTTCTTACTAAATCAAAATATTCAAAACATCTTATTCCACACGTTAGATAGAAAACATTTAAAAGTAAAATTATTCAAGTGAATTAAGACTAAGAGGAACTGTTAAGAGAACTGTTGGAGAAAAAAAAAGGGTTACTATACAGAAAAAAAAAAATCATTAAAGCTTCCTTTGCTAAGTTGCAGACGTCCCTCTTCTTCCTTGCTGCTGGGTACAGAGCTGATTTCAGCGATCATTGTTCCGTGTCATCACCGCTGAGTCATTGTTGATTGGGCCTCTGACTGCTCCTGATTACAGTGAATAGACTGCATCATCACTGTTTCCCCCCTGCCAGGAGAACTACATTCATCTCAATAAAGATACGAGGCAAACGGACTCACTTGCTGTGTAATAAGAGCCTAATTTCTATTGAATGCCAACCACAGTGTTATTAAGAAATACCTTTTCATTTGCGCAGGAGGGGGGAGAGGTGGATTTTGCTCCCATTGATTTATCAAGTTCTCTGGCTTCTGTATTTAATTGCTGCTGTTTGGATCGATGCAGTTACAGGTAATGACATTTACTTTAAAGGAAACACTTCAGCAAACTGATTTATTTCAATATATTTCACTCAACAAATTTTGCATACGCAGCAACTTTTGGCATGTCACTGCAAAGTGGATAATGACAATGGAGCTGAAATCTGTGAAATCACAGAAATACAGTAAATACAGCATCTCTGTCAGCATTATTCTGCACTAAACAGCATGATAAAGTCCAACCTTATGTCATGTTTTTATCATTTTTTGGTCCTTTTGAACCATAAAAGAAGAATTAAAGTCAGTTTCAAATTTCCATTACCTGCTTGGAAAAAGGTGGGATTTTTACAACTGCTGATCAACCAAGATATATGGTAACAGAGGGGTGTGTGTGTGCATGTGTTTATAGAGTGTAGTCTAACATGTGTGTGTCACTTTCATTACCATTTAATGTACAGAACTTCATATCAAAGATAACTTTCCCCAAGGTGACAAATAGTATGGTATAACATTGTATGGTATAGTGTCATATTATATCATATCTAGTTATATCGTATCATATGTTGTAATATCCTACTGTATTGAAGCTAATCATATCATATTGAACAGTATCACATCGTACCGTTATATATCATATCATCATACTTTATCATATCATGTATTACATGTATGTGTGATGTTATTTATAGTGTAATAAATCACATCCTATCATTTTGTATGCTGTCATATTATATTGAAATATACTGAATCATATGGTATTATATTATCTGCATTGTATTTATCCTGTCACAACATATTAAATCATATCCTTTTATATCATATCATATAATATTATATAGTATTGTATTATGACATATTAAGTTCTGTCATATTGTATTATAATATATATATATATATATATATATATATATATAATTATTTCTTTATCTATAATATCTCATTATATCTTTTCATAATGTATTGAATCATATTGTAATGTTTAAATGTTTAAACACACCGTAACACTGAGTTAGACACTCCCTTTAGTAACGACTGCACAACAGCAATACACAGGGGTCTATGTCTCAATGCGCAAACCTCAACCAAAAAGCCACTTTATAGCCACAAATAGTGCTCAGAACAGCACCTAACTTCATCAACAGTACATATAGGGTCCCAGCCACAGTACTAGCCATCAAACATCTTTTTAGCTTTGCCTGGATTTTTCAGCAAAGAGACTAAACACAACTCACCCACTCTTCTCCAGCACCCGCTCGTTTGTGGCGAAGCCCTGATGAATCAATCACTGAGTGCAGCAGAGTTTCGCAGCTCAAGGAAGAACATTTATGATTATTACTTCATGGAAATGCAATCAGACCAAGACGACACGGTAAGAGAACTACTGCGTGTGTGGTGCAAAATGATTATTATGATGATTATTACTTCATGGAAATGATCCGCTGCACTCCCACAAACTAGCAGCTGTTGGAGGAGAGTGGGTGAGTTGTGTTTAGTCTCTTTGCTAAAGATGTTTGATGGCTAGTACTATTGCTGGGACCCTATATGTACAGTTGATGAAGTTAGAAATCATGTAGAAACAAAGAAAACCACGTAGATTCAAAGAACCTTCAGCTACCAGTGATGATGAAAACTCACATTACACAACAATTTTCTTTCAATGAGGTTGTTCTGATGAACGACAGAGCAATACAAAAACACCATAATTATGATTCAGGTCACACTTTGACATTAGCTGCCATCCAAGCCTGAGGCTGTTGGAGTTAGTCAGATGGTGCGAGCAAAGGTCAAGTTTATTCTTATTTTCTCATCATTAGTACAACCAAGTCAGTAAACATTAGCATCTAATTGATACACGATAGGCATAATACCACAAATATTGCTAAATGTGCTTTATTTTAATCACCAATAGAAGTATCTAGACTAGATTTAAGTGACTTTATAAATGTTATTTGGTGTTTATTTTGTTTTGTTTCTAAGCATCACCTAAAGGTAGCTCGCTCAGTGAGGAGCCTGGTTTTTAAAGGGAACATGATTCAGTTTCAGTGTCACATCAGGTAATTAAACAAGGTTCAGAGGCAAGGGCATACACGCAGATATGATGAGGCATGTGTATGTGCTTCTGTGTGTGTCAAATCCAGCTGGACCACTGCTGTCAGGAAAGATAGCACACCACATTAAACCCCTTACATGCTCACTCTGGTGGAGATATTTTGGGCGTCCCTGTCCTCTTCAGCCCACGGCGGGACAATCTGAGAGACTGAGAAGAAGTAGAAATTATAGATGGGGATAGAGATGGAGTTTCTAGAAAAGACTGCAGCAGAAACATGAACGAGAGGCTGAAAAAAGGGGGAGGGCAGAGCGGTGATGAGGGACAGTGAGGGAGAAGGAGAGAGAGAGAGAGTGGAGGGAAAAAGGGGAGGGGGGGAAGGCGGCATCTGCTCACTGCAGAGCCTTTCATTGATAAAGTAGCGCTGGAGGACTGCAGCTGGACACATCACTCAGGCAGCATCTTGCTCACACACACACTTCCTGGGTGTTTGTTTACATGTGCACACAGAGGACACACACTCTCTCAGCAGACAGTGACATCCTCTGAATGAGCATCCTCGCAGACTCTCTCTCTCCTCTTCTCTCCATCCTCTTCTGGGTATAAAATCCTCCCTTCTTCATCACATGTGTGTTTAGCTCAGTGACAACAGAGAGGAGACACCTGTAACTGAGTAACTGGGTGCGTCTGATCTGGGACCAGTTTTCAAGCAGGAGTCGACAGATTGAAAACAGGCTGCAGAGGGATCAGAGGAAACCAGACAACACAGCGGCATAAAGGTATGCAAGGATGAATGCATGCAGAACACACACAAACACGCACCTTTCTCCATATTTAGGCATGAGCAGACTTCACACACATATCAGGCAGTTTTCTAGTGTTTTCTGAGTGTTGTAAACAAAGCTGTAATCTCCTACAGCAACAGGAGCTTCTACCCTCCTCCTTCTCCTCCTCCTCTTCTCCGATCTTTATGTGAGCATCTTTCTCACTTTTTCTCTTACTTTCCTCCCTTCCTTATCTCCTTTTTTGAGTAATCTCATTGCAGCATCTCCCTTTTCCACTCACATCTTGTACATCCACCTCCTCTTACTCTCATCCTCGCATCCTCTTTACACCACCTCCCTCCCTCTCTCTCTCTCCCTCTCTCTCTCCTTTATTTACTGTCCCGCACTCGGTCCTGTAAAAGCCACAGCTCCTTTCCTCATGCCTTGGACATCTTTTTCTCTCCCTCTCAGCCTGTCCGTCATCCTGGGATCTACGGAGGCAAGCGGAGTGCCGGTGTCGGCCATGAAGCTGGTGAACGGGGGAGGAGGAGGAGGTGGGGGAGGAGGAGGGGGTGGAGGTGGAAGAGGAGGTGGAGAGAAGACTGCCTTTTCCTTTAAGAAGTGCTCAGCTTTCCAGTTTGTCAAGAGGAAGGTGAGTTGAGGATGACACACACACACACACCAACACATGCACACATTTCAGGTTGGATGCATCCTACACACATGCACCTACACGGCCAGAGAGGAGGTGTCACAGCCGGAGTGTGTGTGTCAGTGTGTGTGTGTGTGTGAGGCAGAGATGATGTCATTGTGAAAGCTAAGCTGCGTTAATCAGGTGCAACATTTGGCTCCCTCTTTACCTATGTTTACAGTGCAGGCTTGTGTGTGTCTGCTTTATAATACTGTTGTGTTACTGAGCCCCACAAGTGTCTGCCGAGTTGATATCATGACATCAGTGAGCCGGTCCAGTCCTGTAGTTAAGATCCAGCTTTTCCTGCATTATGCTGCAGTGCTGTCACAGGACGGTGTAATCTTAATGCTTTGTGTTTAACTGTCTTAAATGTGTTTGTGTGATGCTGACTTTTCCAAAGACAAACAGACAGCTCAGTTTAAAGACGACCAAACTGCACTTGAAGGACTTGGGGTCAGGCTTTCTGGACTGCTGTATATGCATGAATGAGATTTGAAAATGCTGGTAGAGAGTATAAATAATTTGTGTTTGAGTTGAGATGAGTTTGAGATGTGCGCTTGTTGTCAAAACCATCAATCTGCCAAATTCATGGATTACTAAATCAAGAATAGTAACCAATTGATTATGCAAACCAGAATTTAAGTACAAAGTGGAGTGTCTCCCAGCCATAACACAACTACCAACCAAAGACATAACAAGCAAATATTGATTTTAACATGATTCAATTGATTTAGAAATCATAAATTATCACAGCTAGAAAAAATAGTCCCTCGGGTTACACTTTTGGTTGCACTTCCACCTCAGATTCTAACCAGCCTCCTCTGAAACATTAAAATAAACATTCAAACTCGAGGTCAAGTTATAACATTAGCTTGTTTGCAGAGGAAGATGTGCTCCATGTTTCCTTATCACACATGATTGGGATCCAGTTGCTAATCAGGCTGTTCTCACATCTGTACCTGCAAACTGTCATTATCTCTTGACTCTCAAGACTAGGGGTGTAGTGGGTCAGGGGGGGTCTGCAGGGGGTCTGAGTCCCACTTTTTTTTACAGCAGAAAAAGTCAAATAAGAAGTAGAAGAAAAAGTCACTTTAAATGTTAAAAACTGGTGTTACTAGCAAAAAAAAAAAAAAAAATCAGAATTGTATATTCAACACAGTTAATTATCATCTACAATTACACACAGCTAACTTTGAATCATGCAGCTCATTACCTGCTCAACAAATGGATATAAAAATAGAAAAAAATATATTTAAAGATAATCTTACCAGCTCAAAAATTAGTTGTTTCTATATATGTATTTGCTACGTAGTTGCTCAATTAACATTGGATTTTTCATTCATACCAGAGGCAGAACATTACCATTTTTCTGAAGGTATTTTTGTATCAAACAATCACAGGACCTGATTTAAGTCCTTTACCCTATTACTTTAAAATCTGTGGACATTTGTTTTTCACAGAACCCGTTCTTTATCACTGTTGAACCATGTGTTAAGTTTTGCGTTTTCTTCAGTTTGGTTGATGTCCCTTTCTTTCATTCTTGTGTATTGAGCCTTGCCAGCTGTTTTTGAACTGTCTACCTCCTCTTATTTCTCTGTTGGCAACCGTTTTACCATAAATGTAAAGTTTTGTGCTCTCTGAATGAATGAATGAATGAAACACTAAATCAAGGTTATCCTCCATGATATCATGCTAACAAAAGTGTTTTTGCCACAGTGTCAACATACAGACACAAAATGTACCAGTCTCTGTGCCAAGGACTGGTTGTCTCGAGCAGCACTTGGCTCTTGAGAAATAAAACACTTCCTTATCGGGTTTTGGCCAGTTTAAATAGAGTATTTGACACAGTTGGGTTATAATGTGTAACATATTATTGATGAGCTAATATTTGTTAGTGAATGCATCTTGTTAATGACTAACTCTCTTTTGTAACAGCCATCAAGGATGCAGTAATAAATCTGGTAAAGCATTAATATATGGTCAGAGGTTGCTTTATAACTCGCAATTATTAAACTTTAAGAATCAGTTGTTTATTCATCCCATCAATTTCAGCTGTTTCCTTAAAGTGTCCCTCTATTACGCATGATAATTAAAACCTATTTCCTGAACAGCACCATACAAACATTGAAATAGACTTATCTTATCTGTGGGTAATGACAGCATGGCATGTTAATCTGACCGAACACAGTGACCAGCCATAAAATCCCCATAAAATTAACCACTTACCCACAAGAACACAACCTTTGTTTTCATCTTTGTAATAATTAGATAGGTCATAAGTTACAACTGGAAAAAGACAAGATATCCTTTAACAAGAAAGACCATAAGCAAACACTTGGGAAAGCTGTAAATTGTCTGGTTCTCGTGGAAAAACTGAACATAGAAATGTATGGCTTTATGTCTTCTCAGGGCTTGCCCTATACATATAAGTACATGCTAGGTTATTAACAACACATTAATCTTATTGTCTGTTTTTTCTTTTTTAAATGAAACAGCCTAAAAGCTATTGGATCTCACATTTAAATGTAAATGTAAGCTAGGTTTTGGAGTTCTTCGTGATTGCAGAAGAAAAACTGTGACTACTTGATGGTGTCACCATGTGATTTTTTAGTAGTGTTTGACCAATATCTTTTCATGCATTAAATAATGCAGCAGGGATTGCTGCAAAACTAGCCGTTTTTTTTGGGGGGGGGGACTTGAGCATAAGCTGCGATCCAGCCAGAACATCAACAAGCATTTGTTTCCCTCATTCAAACACCCTGAGCTTGACAAACAGTTCAGCTTTGTGTTTTCTTACTGCTGAATTATTTGCAGATGATTTACATGAGATCAAAGGAGAACACGGAGTACTATGACTGCGGGGTAGGACGAGACGGAAATGACTAACATTACCTCCAGAGAATGACGGAGAGAAAGGTTGATGCACTCACTCAATAACTACTGTATTGCTTTGGGAATACTGTGCAACATTATTTTTCCCATTATCCAAACTGTCTAATATAAAAAAGAAATCGGATAACCCAATACGGGTTTATTGCACAGGTTATTACGTTCAGTTTAGCACATTTTAAGCCTTGGGGAGCGGACAAACACGGCAATCAAAAATCACTGGCTTGATAAATGTGATGCTTCTTTGTTGCCGGGTAGTTTTGTGCACTTTTCTTGTCTGCTTGTATCATAGTTATGTGTTTTTGCCTGCTGCAGGATCGTCCAAAGTGATCATGTGTAGGTCTCAGATGGCGTACAGTATGGTGTGTATCACTGATGACTCGGCGTGTTAAGATGGGCAGATTGTGTTATGTTAACACCCACGCACAAACACACACGCACTCCCACAGGCACATTCTGCTGATGCCTGAACCTCCCATGGGATTTATAAAAAAATACATTCCTGTTTAACAGTAAAGAGCCTCAAGATCTATCTGTCTATCTATCTATCTATCTATCTATCTATCTATCTATCTATCTATCTATCTATCTATCTATCTATCTATCTATCTATAAGTAATGTAAAACTCTGACTTTTTTCTACTCTAACAAGAAAAACAGAAGCTATCAGATCCGCATCAACACACAGCCCCAAATCAGAATTAATGCTTACTGCTGCTCAGAGTTTGTGTCTCTATTTTGTGCCCAAATAAGCCTAATTATGTAACAGGGAGAGCACGAGTCCAGACGGAGCACTTCGTGTCATACAAATGAGTAAAGGGAAAGATGGAGGAGCGGATAAAATCAATGCCACTGAGTCTGTTTGTGCGCTTTCTGTCTGTGGATTTCGACTTTATGTTTCAGATGAGGTCTCTTGCATCACTCGTGTAAACATCTAAGGATTATCAAACGATGTTTGATGGTTCTATAAGAGCAATCAAAGGGAATTGATAGTAAGTTTTAGTCTGATTCCAGGGGTGTTTTGAGAGATGACCTGGGGTGGAGTAGGCCCCTTTGATTCTGCCCACCCCAGCTCTAACTCCTCAGTCTATTGCTGTTTTCACACTCAAGTACTTTGAAAAAAATCAGACAGATATCAGTACAGAACAAATAAACACTGTTCGTACATGCCCCTCACAATAGGAAGTTCTTCCACTTTGAGGTGGGTGTCCCAGGAGGCAAAAACATGTCTATAGGTTGTGTTAAACATGATGTCACCCATTGGTTTTATATCAGGGTTTTGAAGCTCAGCAATAGCAGTTGCTTTACTAGAATTGTGGTAACTAGTATAACTTTTGGTCAACCTATAGCAGGAGGCAAGCGAGAGAGAAAAAAGACAACTTAGTTAACAGCGTCATAGTCAAAGTAATTGTCAATAGTCAAAGTAGATAAAACAAAATGGAGACAGAAGTGATGAATCGATTGTATGTGTGTATTTGTGTGAAAACGTGTACCAGTCCTGCATGAATCAGTGCTCAAGTCAGACAACCCCAGTTTAAATATTTTGGACATACCAGTGTTGGTTTTATTGATTCTTGACTTATCACCACGGTGATATAACACAAAGGCTCTAACTGTGTTTTGTAGTGTGGTGCTGTGTTTAAATATATACTTCATACTGCTGTGTTTTGGTGCCTGAGGTGTTCAAGTGTGGAGCTGAGCGGATGTCACCTCTTATTCATTTCATCATCAGCCTGACACATTAGACAAACGGCACCCTGTCTGAACCACAGGGGTATAACACATAAAATAAAACTGTTTTCTTCCTTCTTTGAGTGTGATGACAAAAAACAAACAGGAGAGTCCTTTAATTAGAGGTAAAATCACTCACATGTACACTCAGCTCATGTTCTGTGGGAGAAAACTTGCATAATTCTTAATCTAGCTCATGTTTTTGGTGTGCGTCACTCAGCTTCTGTGCTAGTTCAACAGCAGTCAGTTTATTTGTGCACTGACCTGCTGGAGTGTTTTTCCAAGTTTGTTTTCTCACACCCCGACATGCCTTGACATGCTGTCTGGCTTCTCTTCGACTCAGGCATCCAATCTCAGTGTGTGTGTACTTTTGTGTTAGTGTGTGTGTCACATCTGTCTGGACTCTGCGGCTCAGTCACTCAGCCTGGTGTCCCTGCAGAGTGTGTTTGCTGAATGTTCCACTCACACAACAGGATGAGATTTCACACAGATTCTCATAAAAATATTGCCTTTCTCTCCCACCATGTCTCCAATTTTCTGTTGACTCTCGAGTTTAACCATCTCTCCCCTACGCACCAACATACACACACTGGGTTTTACAATTTCTGATGGTGCTTTTCTGAAGAGTCTTTGCAGAAAAAGTGTGTGTGCAGTGTGCTTGCTACATTAACTTGCACATGTTGAATTTACTTCGTTTTGCACAAATCTTCCATGACTGTTTAGACTCCATGGATGCTTAATGTGGACATCTGCTAGTGGTGTTTTCTTCATCACATTTGATAATTGTGTTATCAGCATGCATCAGGTGTGCATGCATGTGGGTCATTTTGTGTCTCTCTTACTTCATAAGCTCAAAGTGCAGTGTTTCTCTTTGAAGTGCATCTGCATAAATGTGTGTGTTTGTGTGTGTGTGTGTCCCTCTCACACTGACGTGTAATCAGGGATAACACAAGGAAGTCGTCTTCTTCTGATCAAAGGGGCAGCTGGCAGGGTTGACAGCGCGCAGGCGTTTGTGTGTTTGTGTTTGTGCGACACCTGTGCTGAACACACGTGAATACAAAGAGAAAAAGCAAAAGTAACACCAACTACTTGTTCCTCTTGGACAGGTTCGAAGATGGATGAGGAACCCAAAGGTGAGCGTGGAGAAGGCCCAGGGTAAAAGCCTCCTCTACCCTTGTCCGAAGTGCCCATTGGCTGACGACTTGTGGTACTCTCACTTCCCCTCGCCGTACGGCTGTTGTCACTACAGCGGCCTGCAGGGCGGCATGTACTACCACCAGGAGCCATGCTCCCCATGCCCCGCCAGTGGACAAAGCAGCAGCCACGACAAGAACAAGGGCTGCAAGGTAAAGTCAAAACCCACTCTGCTTCTTTTGCTTCTCAGCCTTATCAGCAATGTCACACTGAAGTGGTGTTTCAAGAGATTTGTGGCGTGGGGTTCATCATGTTGGGCACTGACTTATGCAGGGCTGGCATAAAAAGTGTGTGAATGAAGAAACACTAACACTCACATTCATCCAAGACCACTTTTGCCAAAAGAATTATTTACTTGCAGTAGTTATTTTTGGCTCTGTTTTGAGGGCAGCAGCAAAAACCCAGAACGGAACAATGGTGACAACATATACAGTATAATATAGGTAGTCTCAGCCCACTAGTTTCTAGGCTTTATGAAGCCCAGCAACAGTGATTGCCATATAAAAAATGCTAACTTGCTTTTTATTGGTTCTAAATGGGTTACCTAGGCTTTTGGAGTCAGCCTCTTGTGGACACTTGAAGAGCAGCAGTTTTTAGCATTACAGTATTAGCAACACTTTATTAACAGCGGAGAATGCTGCTTCGTATCTATAAAGGAAAACTGTGACTTCTTAAGTCCTCCACTCAATCACAATCCATCCGTGCAAATGTCTTAACTTTTTGCATCTGTGTTATTTCAGTAGATGCGTCACAGATTACAATGTTTACAAGTAGAGAAATTAGCCACAAAAACAGAATGTTCCTGCGGTAAAAACTGGTATTTAGGGCCCGAGCGTAGCTGCTAAGCAGCTGCGAGAGCCCTCTTGTTCCTGCATGTTTCCTTCTTTCGTTATTATTTTTCCTCCGCTTTAAACTGGAAAATGGCCCACTTCCCACTGGCGAAAACTCAGGAAATTTGGCAGGACGACCGGGCCTGGTGAAAAATTCGATATTCTGAAGTCGCCCAAACAATAAAATGCAAAATGGCTCCATAGCGCCCCCTAAGGTGAAAATTCACATGACGGCTGTACGCTTTGTCATATTGACACAAAAATTGACACACACATGTATCTCAATAAGATCTACAAAAAAGTCAGTGCGGGCATATCTGTCAAATGTACGGTTAATGGGTTATTTTGCATTTTTTGCAGATCTGCACACATTGGAATTTCGCTAACTCCTCCTAAGGCTTTCGTTCGACCGGCACCACATTTGCGCAGGCCAATCTACCCCCCATGGCCATTAAAAGTTGTACAAATCATGACGCTGCACCCCACGGTTTACGTTCTAGGGGGCGCCAAAGATAACCCAAAATCCACATTCTTAAAAGTCTTATAAGTTTTTATTTTTGTCCTCAGTGCCCTCCAAGTTTTCTAGGATGATGCAATGTCCAGCCATCAACACATTTGTGAAGGAATTTTTACTCCCCAAAAGAGCGCCCCCCCATGGCAGGAGAAAAAAGTCCTTTTTTTTCTTGTCCCCTTACATGAAAATACACATTGTTGAGTGTCACGCCTGAATGCTTTGTCATATTGACACAAAAATTGACAAGCATGTGTATCTCAATTAGATCTACGAAAAAGTCAAAAAGCGCGTATCTGTATAATGTACGGTTAAAGGGCTATTTCGCATTTTTTGCCGATCCGCACACATTGGAATTTCGCTAACTCCTCCTAAGGCTTTCGTCCCACCGATACCAAATTTGCTCAGGGCAATCTACACCCCATGCCCATTCAAAGTTGTAAAAATCATGACGCTGCACCCCACGGTTTACGTTCTAGGGGGCGCCAAAGATGACCCAAAAATCCACATTCTTAAAAGTCATTTTGGCCACTGCAGGAGTACAGAGTACTGCAGTTCTAGGGGGCGCCAAAGATGACCCAAAAATCCACATTCTTAAAAGTCTTTTTGGCCACTGCAGGAGTACAGAGTACTGCAGGATACACACACACACACACACACACACACACACACACACACACACACACACACACACACACACACTCAGAGTCTGTTTTTTAGCACCTGCAAAAACATGCTGTTTACATATTTGACAAGAATGCAGAGGCTTCCTTTTGCCCCTGAAAAAAATCAGATTTCAAACACAACTTGACTGTTCATTTCTCCAAAAGACAACCATGAAGCTCCATCCAAACCTGAAGCAGATAGTTGGTGCATGTGTACAGTAACCTGAGGGGAGTGAGGTGACTATTTCTGAGGAGAACATGAGCAGTGAAGATTCACCTTGGAGCTAGAACAGGGACGTGCACATGATTATACAGGGGCAGGGGCTCAAGTTTTTTCCAGTCATTTATACAATATGGAAATTAATGTGAAATTAAAACACAAATATGTGTGATGAACTGTTTTTAAAACTTAAACTTCAAATAAAAATTGTAAACTTCAAAACATATGCAAATTTTTAACAAAGAACATAGTAATTTACCTCTATTTACATCAAAATGCAGGCAATGGCCCAGGCGTTCTTTGTAAAATTATTTACAAAACACTGTATAGTCTCACAAATGTCACTTTTTATTTATGCCACTACAAAAAAACATGATGTAAATGATGCATGATGTAAAACATGATGTAAAAAACTTGTGTAGATCCTCCTCTATGTCAGCTCATGTGTAATTTTTCCATAATTCTTTGTTTTTTGCAGCATTTTTGTTAGTGTAACTGCAGATTGTGCTGACAGTCTATGGCAAAAAAAACAAAAACTGAAAATGCCTCAACATGAACCCCTGGTGGTCTCTGAGGGTGAAACCTGCTAACTGCTGCAGCTCTGTCAGCTTCAGTCTCCCATGCAGAGCTCTGAGCGCATGTGTGGCTCTGCACCCTTAGCAGCGTTGCTAACTCCTCAGTAAGGAAAGCCTGCTTCATGTCAGAGTCTCTAAACTCCAGAAGAAGTCGATAAAAGTCCCTTTCTTTCTAAAAAAAAGTCGTTAGGGGTCTGAAAAGTAATTGAATCTAACAACAAAGTCGCTAGGTTTGCAACTACGTGTCCCAGACTGCATCCCTGCTGAGAGTCCCTCCCTCCCTTCTCATGTTGCAGGAAGAACGTAAGCGTCCGCCCCTTGTCAATCAGTCACCATATAATTTTGGATTGGTTGTTGTGGTGAAGTTTTCCACCAATAGGAGAGATGTTGTGGTGTGTTTTTTTTTTCCTTTGGCAAGCCTTTTCCGCCTGTAAGACCTGTCGCTAATGTGTGCATGCTATGTTTTCCTGTCTCATACAGCGCGATCGAGCGCCGAACGTGATCAAAATAAGCAGAAAAAAAGTATCGCGGACATAATTTATCATAACTCTGGTTTTATTTGGCCTATCAACACAATTTAAAAACTGGTATATAGGTTGAGGTCCTCACTTTTGAGATAAGTTGAAACGGAGAGTTAACGAGGCTCCGTCTTGCAGCTACATCCGGTTAAATATGTCATGTGACTTGAACGCTGGGGAGCGTCAATCGAATCGAATCAAACCTAACTCTCAGATGAATCTTCAAAATTCACCTCAGAAATATGCTTATTATTCTTCTCAGAGTACTGCAGGATACACACACACACACACACAGACACACACACACACACGCACACACACACACACACACACTCAGAGTCTGGTTTTTAGCACCTGCAAAAACATGCTATTTACATATTTGACAAGAATGCAGAGGCTTCCTTTTGCCCCTGAAAAAAATCAAATTTCAAACACAACTTGACTGCTCATTTCTCCAAAAGACAACCATGAAGCTCCATCCAAACCTGAAGCAGGCAGTTGGTGCATGTGTACAGTAACCTGAGGGGAGTGAGGTGACTGCTTCTGAGGAGAACATGAGCAGTGAAGATTCACCTTGGAGCTAGAACAGGGACGTGCAGATGATAATACAGGGGCAGGGGCTCAAGTTTTTTCCAGTCGTTTATACAATATGGAAATTAATGTGAAATTAAAAAACAAAGTATGACTGTCCTGTGTAGGTGACAGTGATATCCAATAGGCTAGGCACTCACGAGGCTGGCTGTGGCAAGTGTAAGTGAAAGCAACACGCACTGGCAGGAAGAACAGAAAACGCAGATGAAGGAAAAGGGTCTTTGCAGTGATGGGCGTTACCAGAGAGGGCGATGGCCAGAGGACACAAATGCGATGGGGAGGCAGCACGTTGGGGGGGGGGGGGGCGACACGGCTCGGGCCCGCCAGTGCCCCAACGGGGTCCTAGTTTTACTTGCCACCTGATGGGGAGTCCCTGGCCTTTGGAACTAGCCCCTAGTGGACACTTGAGGAGCTGCAGTTTTTTGGAGCAGCTCTAATTCTCAACACTGTTTGTTAAGGAAGATGCCACACTTGCTGTAAACAACAGCTTCCTCTTGAAATAAAGCCAAGACAGTTGCTTCAATCAAATGAAGCAGACTGTAAATCACATTTAAAAATAACAGGGCGGTTACCGGCTGGACCAGTGGGTGGATTTCAGGCACACCCTCCCCACACCCACGCACTAAGGGTATGCAATGATTAAAATGTTCTGTTTACATAGAAGGAATGTGAATTAATGCAAGGTCAGCCTTCTTTTTAGCTTTGGGAGTAGAAACCAATACACTCACCAAACACCTCTCTGCAACAAAGTACAACAGGACTGTTCTGGCCTGTGTCCCTGGAGCAGAGTGAGCAACATTTTACAACAACAGCAAGAAAGATTAGACCTCTCTGGCAATGGTTTTCCTGGAGCTCAGGTAGAGTCAGCAGTGAAGATGTGTGGTGAAATGCATGTTCGGAAACTGAATGGGAAATCATTGGGGTGAAAGAAGAGTTAATAAAAAGACATTATGACCCACTTCCTCTTCATCCTTTCTCCACAAATCTCCCTCTCTGGCCTGAAGTTGCACTTTTATCCATAAACAACAACCTTGACTCACTTTGCACCCCTCCCTCTGTTTACCTATTAGTGTGGAAAAACAGCAAAGTAGCGAATTATGTGCTAACAGAACTCCACTTATTGTTGTGCTTGTCTTTACCCTGCGTTTAAGCTCTACCACGAGGGTTGTTATGTAACATAAACACTAAGGCAGCTGAAGGCAGGGGCGTTTTTTTTTCTTTTCAAAGGGCCCGTTGTTGATGTTTTTTTGCTTACCAAGGGAAGGTGTTTCTGAAATTAGAGCAAAAGGGACAAATTCAACTGAGCACATGAGGACTGAATTAAATATTAAAGAAAACAAATAAAAACAAATATCAGCGTGAAAAAAAGGAGGTGTAAGGATACAATCAACTCTACTCAGCAGGTGTCCAGCTCACCCTCGGTTATGCAACCGCAATCATGATAGAGATCCCACACCTATCAATCATCACTCTCATCTATTGGTTCCTCTTGTGTGTGTTTATGTGTGTGAGTGTGTGTGTTCCTCAGCTCTCATGGGTGGCAGGCGAGAATGAGTCATCACTGTCCCAGAGAGACAAAGCCACACTAGTGTGTGTGTGTGTTTAAAAAAGAGTGTGTATGTGTGTGTACTACCTAACAATGTTGAAGTGTGGAGCGCGTTGACGTGCATCTCTCCACTCTCTGCCTCCAGCTCTTTCATTTCTTCATTTTTTTATGGTATCTTCCTTCCAGGGCTGGTCCGTCTCACTTTATCTCTCCATCAATTCCACCTCCTGCCCTCACAACCAATAGATCTGTCACTTAGGTCCCACTGGAGATAACTGGTGTTGGTGCGTGTGTGTGTGTGTGAGGTGAATTAATGGATGTTGCAAGGAGCTAGGAACAGTGGGTTAAAGATGAAGGGGATCTGTGGTGAGTCATTTCTCTGCAGACAGTGTGTGTGCTTGTGTGTTTGAAGGTAATGCATTGCTAATGTGTGGTCAAAGAGGACTGACCCACCAACACATTTTTATTCCCAGCTCATCTGATGTGAAAATACGGTCACCCAGTTATCACTTACGCATCGGTGGTATTTGTCATTCTGGTGACACTTTATAGAGAAGCGGCAGCTTTATGGCAGTCTTACCCACAGGTTTATCCTTTAAAGTCACCGACTCAGGCGTCCATGCTTGTTAACTCAAGAGTAAGATCGAGCTAAACCTACAGCAGCCTATCTTACCAGTGGTTTGTGATCCAGCAATAGAGAGACAATAAACCTCAAACAGTTGGATGCATACTGTATTCTTCACACTCTTCAAGTGTCTGACTCTGAGAGGCATGGCCCAGTAACACTCAGACGTTATGTTCTCAGCTGTCCATTACATGCTGTACCATACCTCAGCACACTCTGTACAAACATTGAACATGTAACAGCTCCCGCCCTCAAACTTAATCTGCCAAAAACTTGCAGACAAACGCTCCCCCTCTCTGACACACCAAACTCTCTGCTCTGCTAAGTCTCCTGCGGGGCCACCCACAGCCTGACTCAAATGCAAATGAACAAAAACTTCACTATGATATTTGTCAGCCCATCAAAGTAAACCATATCTCTGATGGTCCGACAAGCGTCTCAGGCTGTGGTTTAGGAGCAGAGGGGTGATGACGCTGAGCGGCTGCTGTCACACAAAGTGGAGGAGATGAATAAGACAGCAGACACTGACAGATGGTGTCAGCTTACTCTAACATGATGAATGAGACAGAAGAGAAAGCTCTGGGGACATTTGTCATGCTCGGATACATGATGCTCTTTATTCTGATGATGTAAGTCTTGAGGAATATTGCTTTGCCTCAAGAATCCTGCATTGTTGAATGTTATCGTCCTCCTCACTTGGGCGTTTGGACGGCTTTTGGAAAAGTTAATGTGGTCTTAAGTGAGGCTTTGTGTCTCCAGAGCTTCATCTGAGCTTTGAGGCAAACAAAAACGTAGATAAAAAGCGACATCTACCTTCATTATTCTCAGCAAAAACAGCCCCTACAACCTCCACCGCCTCTTCCCTCTTATTAAAAATCCATCACAGCACCTGATTTCTCATTATCATACCATTTAAATGCAGGTAGCTTAGCTTAGCCTTGACCCTTTGCTTAGCCTTCTTAGAGCCCAAAGCTAAATATAGAGCATCTTTATGGCTCTGGTGTTATTATATAATGAAATCAGCGCTCTAAAGTTATGACTCCTGCTTCTGCTGACATGATAACTGTAGGGCAGAGAGGAGCAGAGGTTCAGGAGGAAACGCAGTAAATGGTGTCGATTGGGGGAAATTAGAGTTCAAAATTGGACAGAGGTTTGATCTAAATGTCTGTCTGCCAGGGAGAAATAAGAGCAGATTTGGGTTTGTTGGCGCTGAGGGGAAAACATAAAGAGGGTAAACAGCAGTGATCTAGAGAGAGAGAGAGAGAGAGAGAGAGAGAGAGAGAGAAATGAAGCAAGGAGGAGAGCTGAGAGGACACTTTTATTAGAAGATAGAGGATGAGGTCAGAGCTTCTGCCCCAACGTCAGAGCATGAGCAGAAATCAGAAGCATATAAATCCTCCTGATAAGGACGTCCTGTACTGTCCTGTGTACTTACTAGCAGACTGTCAGATCCTCTACACATATACACACTAACACACACAAACACACACACAAAGCTAATGCAGACACAGCCTTTTCGCTAATCGCTAACATCAAGCTGTACTGTTCGTGATGAAGACTTCATCAAAAAATGAAGAGAACATTAACTTCTGCTGACAGCTGGTCGTCCTGAAACGTTATCTCTATCGTTGTACACATTCAGTATTTCTCCACAGCAGTGTCAGTAACACTATAGATCTGCGCCTGTGTGTCTTACAGTGTAAATATTGTGTATAGTGAAATACTACCCTGAAAGTAAAGGAATGTTTAAAGGGCATGTTTATACCCACATAACCCAGAATTACACCACCATGAGGGCACTTTGGCCTGAACCTTTACCGCTGTATTCATGAGCTTATTGTCACTGGAGGGAAACAGCCTTACTTTAGCAAGATTTAAAGATACCATAAGGAACTTTTTAATGAACTTTGCCAGGTGCCTGTGTTTGATATTTGACATTTTCAGCCGCAATTGCTATTAAAGGGATATTCCGGTGTAAATTTAAGTTATGGTCAAACACACCGTAACACCGAGTTAGACCCCCTCGAGAGATGAATGTTGCCGACTGCTTGCTTCTCTAGTTATACCAACAGGGGAGCCCTGACGAGTCGATCACAGAGTGCAGCAGAGTATTGCTGCTTAAGAAATCAGGCAAAGCTGAAAAGATGTTTGATGGCTAGTACTATGGCTGGGACCCTATATGTACTGTTGTTGAAGTTAGGTACTGTTCTGATCATTATTTGTGGTTATAGAGTGGTGTTTTGGTTGAGGTTTACGCATGGAGACGTAAACCGCTGTGTATTGCTATCGTTACTAAAGTTGGTATAACTAGAGAAGCAAGCAGTTGGCAACATTCATCTATCGAGGGTGTCTAACTGAGTGTTACGGTGCGTTTAAACGTAACTTAAATTTGCTGTGGAATATCCTTTTAAAGAGTTCTGTGTCTCATCCTCGATTTATCCAAATTCACAGGTTAGTTACAGAGCAGATTCACTTTGACGTCTCTAATTGATGAAACCAAACCATCAATATGGGAAGAAGTCTTTTTGTCCTAAGACAAGTGTAAACAAGAACCACAAAAACTATGTATTTGACATATGACTCAGAGAAAGATCCAGATTTTGTTTTCATACCTTCTTTAAAACCTGGTCCTCTTCTGGGAACAGATCAGGTGATACCATCCTTACCCAGAACCGTCTGATCTTTTGTAGTCCCATATGGGTTAACTGTCCAAAACTCATTCATGCAGGATAAAAAGGGGGGCAGCGATGAGTAAGAAAGGAAGTGGAGCAGAGCAAGGGGATGAAAGGGGGTGAAGAAATCCTCCGAGATGAGAGAAACCAACCGTGTCCTGGAAGAACAGTGATTTTGATCTGCTCCTATGCAGCCTGTGAAATGTTGGCGACTATTGATTAGATCTCAGCTGTAAGTGATGGTGCAAAGTAGAGGATGAATAACTGCTCAGGATTTTTTTTTTTTCATGCAATAATAAACGTAGTTAATTTCGCGGTGAGGTAACTCCACATCGTACCTTTAAACGCACCATTGAAAAAAAACCTCTGGGTGGTATTAACTCTGGCTTTCTAAGTCATGTAGTTTGTGTGTTAAGTTGGCTGCTGGGTGTCGTTATCCAACAAGACAAAACAGGGGGTGACAACCTGTGACAAATCCTCCTCACTTGTTCCTCCTCAGCAGTGACAAGACCCTACAGGCTGTGCTCTGTAGGATGAATGCTAATGCTGTTTGTCTGAATCAGTGAATGATGTAATGATGGTGGGCTCATTCAAAAGTCCTGTCAAGTGAGACCTCGAGGCACTCACAAGAACAAACAAAACTCAAGGGTTGCATCAGATGACAAGACTTTGTAGAATTACCAAAATACCGTCTGTTCCCAAAAACTTTTCTCACTTTTATGATACTTTCTCTGAAGCTGCTGGACTTAAGACTCTGGACTTTAACTGTTGACGTCGTCTTATCTCTGAGGTGTCTCAGTCGATTATTCTGGGAAGCGAGCAGTTCACAGCTTAATTGAGCTAATGGTTAATGACTCCTGTGTCAGAGTCAAAGATAGCACAAGTTTGTTAGTGACCTTTACTGGCACTTTTCGAGGTAAGAACAGAAACTTTGGACTTGGAGATTTTGGTAACTGTGTCAAGCAGGCAGGACGAGCTTGATTCACTGCTAATCTGCGTACAAAAATATCTGACTTTATATTTATACGGCACGAACGTCACACAGGAAAAAACTCACTCGAATGATTAAACATGCAGCTAAACTACCAGCAAAACCAGAGTCCAACTTTTTGACAGCATCATTGAGTGCGCCTAACATCCCTGTCACCACTCATTTCAGCCGCTTCCCTCATGTAACCTTTGGCCAAAAGGAGCAAGCAAGGCTGGACAGACACTACTGTTCATGTGCTTTTACTGAATTATGGAGCTATTTACGAGATATTGGGTAAAAATGCTTAACTTTTGCTTTATGAATTGCACCTAACTCTGTTGCTTCTCTGTCCCTCTCCTCTCCTTTCAGAATTGTTGCTTGGATTTGGCACTTGAGCCCCAGCTTTAGCTGCTCTTGCCACAAATTGATTTACTGTCAAGACTTATTTTTGTTGTCTTGGGCTTATAAAGGAATTCAGAAGAATAGCCAACAAGGTCCAATTATATTTGATACAAAAAGTGACACAAAAAGAGCCCAATCTCTGTCCAGGTTGTTGTCTTTTCATACATACTGTAGAGACAAGAGTTTAAATATTAAGTCCACATGACGTCTAAAAGTCAAAAATCCCCCTGACTCCATCAAAATTTGTGCTTGGTAATGAAAACAGTGAGCTTCAAGTTTAGCATTGGTACATAACAATCTTGGCAAACCTCCACGTCCTACTTTTCCTCTCTGTAATAACAGATAACATCATCTGACATCGTTTCTGCCATGCTTCTTCTCTCCTCACACCTTAAATCCACTCCAACCTTGATGTTTTCTTGCCATCATCCATTGTTCTCCCGGTTGTTGATACCCACATTTCCCCTTCTCTGATATAAACATTTTTAAGCAGCATTTAAATGAGGGAACTCTCCCAGGGTTTTGGAAAGCGGATCTAAGCTGCCACTGTTTAGCATACGCTAAGCAATGGAAAACTGCTAATCCTTTGCTATTCTTTTGTTCCAAAGCCAAGTTCTCTGGCAGTGGAAGAATGCGGTTAAAGTAATAAACTTGGAATTGCTTTTCCTGCATGATCTCCCCTCTTTGCTTACAGTAGATATACACACTCCCCCTAAAATGGCTCAGCGCATTGGTTTCCACTGTTAGTGCTGCATTATGCAGAGCTCTCTCTGCCAAAATATGGAAAATTGAGAAGCAGAAAGGAGGTATTTATACCTTGGCTGCGGTCTCCTGGATTTGTTGTGATATGGAGGATCTGTGACTTCGCTTTGTAGTGTTTCAACTAATCTTGGCAATAACAAGCTGGAGGGAAAACTGAGGAAGGTGCAGGCAGGTTGTTTGTGATGTTAAGAGGTTTCCTTTCTAATCTATGTCTGGGTTGATACACATCACAGAGGAATTCAATGCACGTAGAGAGAACGATAAATATGCATGACTTCATATTGTAAGGTGAAGTCACCTGGAAGGAGTGGTGCAATCTTATTTTGAAAGGTTTCAAATTGATTGAGAAATTAGGTTAAAAGACAAGGGTGAGAAATAATGAGTGGGTGGTGATGCACATTAAAGTCCTAACAGGTGAGCAAACCTCTGACGTAAGCTGACAGACTGAGGGTCACTTATCTCACAGATGACACATTCTTGCCATTATCACCACAGCTTATGGTTTAAGTTACCTTGTTAAGATGGGGTTTTATGACCACATTGAAAAGTAAAGTTGTAATGGGATAAAAGTCATGTTGTTATGGAAATAAGGTCGTATTAAAGTTATTATACTCTGAGGATAAACCCTGAAAAAGATGAGATTTGCAGTTTCCCCCTTCAAAATAGTATTAAGTCATCAATTGTTGATTAAATTAAAAACAAAGCGACTGAAATCCCATAACATGATATTTTTATTCCTGCACATTATGAATTTACAACAGCTTTATTCCTGTAATATTTGACTTCACTACATTGTTGTTCTTGCCAGATTGATCCGGTTGTCTCTGGCGTCTCTTTTGCTGTTGAAAATTCATCACTGTTGCTTTGGGGGTTTGGCCAATCAGGATCAAGTTTTAAACACAGCCAGGTTCTAAAAACAATAGTTGTTGACTTAAGTTATGAGGATGATGAATTTATCTTCCTTTTTGGCCAAGGGCAAAGATATTTGATCAGAGACTATCCAAAAATCAGCACTAGTCTCAACACCTCCTGTGGATTTAATCCCCGAGCAGTATCGCCCTCTCTCGTGGTCCCCCCCTCTCCCTCTCTGACCTTGGGCCACCAGAAATAAAAGGACCATCCTCTGCTGCGAGTCTTTTTGTGAAGGACTTTGGGGATTATTGTTGTTTTAATCTACCCTGAGAACTCAGCTAATCATTTCTTCCATCTTGATGCTCCAGAGTGAATGCCAAACGGCTTCACCACAGCGGCTCAGCAGCACCCTGACTAAGCACTGTAACTTTGTCTCCTGCTCTGTTCACACACTCAGCTCTGTTGAGACTGCTTGGTAATGCACTGAGGTTTTTAGAGATTATGGCTCACTCTAGAAAACTGAGCTCAGAGTTGACCTGATCTGATTACACATGGACAACATGTGCTTTGTTACTGCCCTCAGTCTGTTGTTTACTGAACGAAAAACTCAGACCTGTTGGTTTTAGTTTGTGTTATCACATTTCTAGTGCAGGTCAGCTGAAGATGTCATTTTGTTTTTGTGCTGCGAAATCTCTCAGATCAAGTACAAAATAAAACTCAGCAACAAAAAGGGATAGTCTAAGATGTTCAAACCATAGACTGTATATACTAAGGACAACTTGGTTCTGTGTTCCGCCAGTGTACGGGTTTGCAGCCCAATTGCTCGCGGTATTTCTGATTTTCTCCACTTCCTGGAATTACCACTTTCGCTGTAGCATTGTACGTATTTTGGTGGGAGATTCACAGAGAGTCGCTGTGATGACACTCGGCTCAAACAGTACGCCCATAGGCTGTATCAAGTGTCAATCATAGAAAACATGAACCCCCTAATAACTTTTAAAAATGGAGTTGCACAGAAAAAAGAGGACTTGAGCACAAACCAGTCTTACAATAACTACATGTCAACATTGCAAGCAGGGGAGAATGTACACACCAGCCCCGAAGTTCCATAAATCAAGAAATAAAAACATCATGCACACCTTATCAGCACCATTCATAAGAAACGCAGCTCTGTTTGACTACCTCGTAATGCACATTATATATAAACACATCAACTTGTTTCAGTCACTACAACAACAGTACCCCTTAAATTTCATACAGTAGTGGTACCTTGTTGAATATTACTGTTGTAGAGGATAACACGGGGAAATTCATATTCTGTGTTACAAATTTCTAAATTTGTCCACAGCTCCATAGGAATTGCTGGAGGAGGATTTATGACCTATACTGCAGTCTGTCACCAGAAGGTGCTGTTCTCGCAGTGGCTTCACCTAGCGAGGAGGTAGACAGAATCCATTTTATATACAGTCTATGGTTCATTTTCGAGATCCTGAAGGAAGAGTGGTGTGCAATAAAACATGTTTTATAGGACTGGATAGTGCGGAAACTTGTGCTCTCCACAGAATAAACCCTGCTACTTTTGATTTACATCTGACTTCTTCTATAGCACATCGGGCAGGTTGAAATTTGTTGTTTTCAGTGTAATTTTGCCACCATAAGATGACAGTAGACCACCAAAATGAAGTAAAAACTCACATTCGTTTACCTAAATCCAAACTTGTGTTATTTGCTAGCTAGCAACAGTCACCTGACTGTGCCAAAAACTTGATTCTGATTGGTCATTGATTGATAATTGACAACCTCAGAGGCAACCAGATGACAAACATAATAAATCTACTGGTGGAAAACAGCTCTTGCACATTCTACTTCTGCTTTTGGCGACAAGACAAAGATGTGTTAAAACCTCAGTTTCTATGAGTTTTTTCAAGTTTAACAACACTACTATTTTCATACTGCATCCTGTCCTGCAATCTGTGCAATGGCTGCAGAGCTAGTGAATGCATCTCTAAATTCACTGCAAAAACCGTGACCAACCATGGGAGAGAAAACTCCCAAATGTCTGTAAAGTAAATAAAGTCAGAGAACAATTGTGTCACATCACTTTTTCCAGGGATCCTGTGACCATTTAAAACCTCAGAGATGAGCCGTGTCTGTGAATACATTTTACAGTGTTTATTTTAAAGTCAGTGATTCAGTGTTTTTGCCTTTTGCAAATCTGGTCAAACTGTGCTTATGCAATGTGAAATGTTTGGGTTGCTATGACTATTTTAGTGAGAGAGATGAGGTGAGGCTTAATGTCAGGGTAAAGAGAACAAAACAAATCTCATTACAGCTACAGCAGAGAGTAAATAAGCTCCATGACATAAAGATATATTCAACTCTGACAGTTTTACAGAAGACAGAAAGTTAGAGATTTACTGTAGAAGATGCTGTGAAATCCCAAGGAGAGAAGTGTTTTAATTTCCAAGAACCCTCACAGGCTGTGGGGCACAGTGGATGAACATTAATATTAATATTGAACCACAGAGTCAAGCTGCTGAGACCCTTGTGCTCCTCAGGATTTAAGATAAAAAAAAACTGAATCCCAAAGAATGACCCAAGAGGGTGAAAATAGCTGCAAACAAAACAGCTTAGCGTCAATATCCCAATCGTGAAATCCCAATATGTCCTTTGGTCTCTTCTCCAGTACAACAGCAACATATTGAATGTTGTTGTCACCTTTTTTATGTTTTATCTCCTGTTTTTCAGGCTGACTTTTAAACTCTTATGGTTGTTTTCTTGCTTCAAAGTGAATATCTGAGGCTGACTACCTTATGGGACTCACTGTAGGTTCCTTTTTCTAACCCTTTCGAATACCTTAGTCATAGTTCTTTGTCACTGTAATCACTTGTATCTGATCTTTCTTCCTCCCTTCGTCATCTTAGGAGGCATGTTTTCTATCTAGAAACAGAGGCAGGGAGGAGAAAAGCAAAAGAAGGAGCGGTGACCTTGATGTTAATAAGCATGTCTTATCTCTGACAGGGAGAGGACAGCTTATGTAAGAGCACCTCGCTCTCTCATTCTTTCTGTTGATCTTTTTGTCTCCTTCAGACATATTTTTGCTTTTTCTTCCACATATCTTTGTTGAGCATCAATCTTCAATTTTGACCTTTCTAGATTTCATAGCACTTTGAATCTCTGTCAGATATTGGACATAAAGGTGGGGTTCCTCACCAAGGACACACTGGCAGTATTACATTAAAATACATCAGCATTAGATAACACCATCTAACCATAGGCTAGTTATTGCTAACAGTAAATTGCTCATTTTTAAATGGACGTGACACTGGGATAAGGCCACTGGGGAAGACAGCCAGTATCAAAGACTCTACAAAACATTGAATTTAGTCCCTTTCGCCCCCAATGGCTTTGAAGCCCAGCGATGAAGGTCACCATATTGCTCATTATTATGCCTATACTTGTAAAACTTGTCGGCAGTTCAAACATTTGTCTATTCAGACCAGAATCACATTTCATACCAAGCTGTGATCATGTTTGTCTCCTCAGGGGGCTCAGTAAGTTAGACAAAGTTCTTATGTTGGACTCAGCCACAACCAACAAGGTTACACCCAGGCTTATGCAGTGACTGCAGTTGTTGTAGTTGTAGCGCTTTTAGTGAGCCAGATTAGTAGTGCTCTTCATTTTACCACTTATAACATTTTCTAATCCAGCCGAATTTTGTGTTGTTTGGCTAATTATATGTGTGTATGTAAACACATACCTCTTAAATAATTCAATACATCCTTTGTACTGAAGTATTCAAAAGTAAAAATTACGTTTTCTAGTATCAGTAAATTGCTGTAGCCAATTTTTTTATTGCATTTACAGACCCTTGTAACTCTCTGAAACCACCCAATGAATGAACCAACTTGCCTGTAGAACCTCTCTGCTACACAAAGCAGGTAAAAATCCCGTCATTCTGCCTTGTAGTTTTCGTTCACATGAAAGGGTTGGCTCTTCTAACCAGTTCGTTCGCGACTGACACATCACCATTGATTAGCATTTTTCAGCACCCAAGGTCACAGTTGGGCCTTTATTCTTAAATTCTAAAAACAGCCTGAAAATACCTTGAAACTGATATCCAGGTCACCTCATCTACCTGTTTATATCCTGGCTGCGAGGATATAAAGAGTCATGCTGTGGTTGAGATATGCCATCTTTTGCTTCATGCGACTACAACTTATTCAACGAACAAGAAAGCTCCTCTTTACCTGGCAATGAGAGCTGCAAAACTTCAAAAGCTCCAAATCTTCTTCCTTGCCTCCAGATCTGCTTTTGACTGTAAACATCAGTTTGGTTTTATGCTGAAAGCTGACAACTAAAGAGACTTCAGGGAGCTCCTCTAAAGCAACAGAGGGTTTTTATAAAAACAACCAAAGCTGTCAGTTTGAACAAAAGCTCTGAGTCTCTTTTAGTCAGTACTCTCTGTTCTCCAAAGTTTTCTTGTTTTCTTATTTGGAATATTCATCGGTTTTCAAGGGTGTGGTGAATACACTGGGTAAGTTATAATCCTCTACAACAGCCATATTCAACAAGGTACCACTACTGTATGAAATTTAAGGGGTACTCTTGTTGTAGTGACTGAAAGTTGATGTGTTTATATATAATGTGCATTAGGAGGTAGTCAAAAAGAGCTGCATGCTGATGAATGGTGCTGATAAGGTGTGCATGATGTTTTTATTTCTTGATTTATGGAACTTCAGGGATGGTGTGTGCATCCTGATCATGGTGAGCTTCCCTGGACTGTATCACAACCTGAAATTATAAGGTGAAAGGGCACATTTTACAGAAGTCTTATATAATGTACCTTGTCATGGACCTGATGTTGTCTTAAACGTAAAGAGTCACAGTACTAACCAGGTTAAAGGGCAAAAACGCAGGGTTGAAAGGAAGGAGAGCTTGGAAAAAGCCAAACATGTTTAGCAATGTGTTTTGCAGTCAAATTTCCTCAGCTTGTTTTTTTTAACTATAAAACAAGATTCATGGCACTTATATACTTGAACAAGGTTCAGGAGGTTATGCAATTAAGTATATTCTGCACAGTAAGCTGTGCAGCTCAGCCTCAGAAAGAGCAGATTATGGGTCTGTTCATAAATAACTCTGATGAGATGTTGCTGCAAGAGTAGCTGAGTTGTTGAACTACTCACAGAGACCCCGACTCTGTACAAGACTTCCTTTGTGTTTATAAATAAGGGATTGGAAATAACAGTGCTAAATACTTCACTTGAGTGTATACGTACATTCTTTGGAGGTTAAAAAAATAATTCATATGTTGGTCATGGGGGAAATGTCATAATATCGTATCTCTTCACTCTGATTAACTATGTTTGATTTCATATTATATCACATGGTATTGTAATCTGTGTATCAGTGTGTATTGGACCTTGTCATTTTGCATTTTGTATCATATCATATCACATTGTGTGACACTGCACATTGCATCATACCATACTGTATTGCACCATATCATATGCTATATTCTTGTTGCATTCTTAGTTACATTTTATCACATCATATCATATTGTATTGTATCAGATTATGTCGTATAACATCATATTATCTTGTGTCATCATCCCATCTGTCATATAATTTCATTTCAATTCATTTAATGTCATATATCCTATTGTATCACATGGTATCGCATCATATCACATATCGTGTTGCATCGTGTTATGTTGAGTCATACTATAAAAAATCATATCCCATCATATTGCATTGTAACATCTCATATTACATTCTATCCTATCCTTTTTATATCATATCATGCCATATCTCATCTTATTATAATACATTACGTTGTATCATATATCATATTTCATCATATCCTTTAATATTATGTTGGGCTGTATCATATCCTGATGTTGTTTTGTATCATATCATATAATACTGTATTATTTTATTCAGTGTAATTGTATTATATTGTATCTTATCATCATGAACTGTTTTATATTTGGACTGTGATGTTTTAATTTGGACATATCAATCATATTTTTCAGCACTTCACCGTGTTTTATCACATCATAACATTTTTCTTCATACACCTCAAATCTTACTGTATTGAAATGGCACAATCAAACCCTAAAGTGACGTTTAGTTACACAATTCTTTCTATCATTACAAATTATTGGGGTATTAATGATATCATATTGTTACACGTTGTATAAGAATTACTTCAAAATATGTATCCTTCAACTGTAAGCAAAGTAATTCAGCTGTTCTGATCAAAAATAGATGTGGTAATAACCGACGTTGCTGTTTCTCTGCTTCAGATTTTGTGCTCTGCTAAGCAAACCTCACTGCTTTTGTAATCTTGTGTATGATTAACAGATACCACTGATAGCCAGCTTCACACTCTCTTCATATGCAATTAGCACTTCAGGCATAATGTGTAATGAGTCAGTTAGCATTTTGTAGTAACTGTGGGATGATTTGGTGCAGTTTGTTATACTTGGGCTGAATAAAACAATGAGAATGTGAGAGTTTTATCCATTATTATTCAACAGTCAGCTCAGAGAGAGGCTGGTACACACACACACAAAACACAGTCACAGCAACAGAATGATATTCTCCTGTGTTCAACACCCTCACTAATAATTCAAATCCAATCTGTCCTTTCAGCACTGAGCTATAACTGCGGTCAAGAGAGCAACCATTCACACAGGGGGGAAAGTTACATTTTTTCTTGCCAAGTTGCAAGTTTTGGCTGTTCTGCACACACACAAACACACACAAATACACACTTCCTGCCAAGTTATGGTGATGTAGAGGCCAGCAGAGCAACAGCAGCTGATAAAAACCTTGATAAGACTCATTTGAAATGGCTGCAGTCTCTGAACCTGTGTGCTCTGTGTGCCAAGGACACCATTTACCTTACATAACAGCCATTCTGGGTCACCGACACATCCATCTGTGCAATTTAGTTTCCTCTAGAGCAGTGTGCACCTTGACCTCAGCCTTCATTGTCACATGTACCTTATATATCTTGCCAACACCTTCTTTCTCTCACCTGTGTGTTTCTGTATAAGTGAAGAGTTTTGTTTTTTTTTAAAACATGTTATGCATTCAGTCCATGTTTTAAGTCATGCTGAACAGTGATCGAGGTGGTGTGTGTGCCACGGGTGCAGCTGTCACATGTGAGAAGATAGAGGCTGACTGCAAATCTCAGCGCCTCCTCTGCTGCGAAAATAGGACCTAAAAATATCTTACTTCAACCAGGGATGTTGACTCTATCCTTAGTGGTGTAAAAAAGTGCCAGCTTTTTGGTAATGCCAGAATAACCAGGACACACGTTTGCTCAGAACAGTGCAGCATCTGTGCAATCTTTTTGGTTTAGATAAGTCTTCTTACCAACTCTAATTGACTTTCTTACACTGTAAAGTTTCAAAACCAGGTGGTGAAGGTGCACTTCTGCAGTTTGATTAACCAACAACAAAAGTCCAAAATATTGACATTTTGATCTTAAACTCACAGAATTTCACATTTCATTGGAAAATACTTTTAAAAAATCTTAACTCTAAATTTGGAGACAATTATAGTTTTATTAATGCTAAACCAATGAATCCATCAAAGTTTAAGTTGTCATAAGAAAACACGTTAGAAAGCCAAAGGGGAGATGAGCAACAAGGCAAGGCATGACAAGAGAGAGGCATAATATTGACTCTGTGTGTGTGTGTGTGTGTGTGTGTGTGTGTGTGTGTGTGTGTGTGTGTGTGTGTGTGTGTGTGTGTGTGTGTGTGTGTGTGTGTGTGTGTGTGTGTGTGTAAAAGCATCTAAATAAAGTGTAAGCAATTTGTAATTTGGATTTCAAATAAAGACAGGCTTCGGACAAGTACACCCTACCTCCCCCTTACCTATACATTCCCAAGAGGAAAGCAATGAGCCTGTAGAGAGATTTTAAGGGAAGATAGAAAAGGCAGAGTCAGGAGAAGACGGTTGTTGGTGCTGGAGCTTACCCTGATTGTGGGAGGCTGTACGCTCTACCTCCTCCTTCAACCCCACATAAGTAAAGGAAGAGGAAAAGAGAGGAGTTTTGTGCTTAAAAGAGAATGGGGAAGCCAGAGCAAGAGGTTTATTTGTGCTGGAGCTTACACTTGCTGTGCTAGACTATAAGCTCTAGCTTCCCTTTCTCCAATTAGGGAAAAGAAAGAAAGGAAAGGAAAGGAAAGAGGAAAGGAAAGGAAAGGAAAGGAAAGAGTAAGTAGAGTTGTGTAAAAAGAGGACAGAGAAGGTGGAGCCCAGAGGCAAAGCTTGCTTAGTATTGTCTGACAATCCAGACAAATTATCTGGTTTAAGGCAAGGATCAGGGCTGCCTTGTAATTCTTCTGTGAAAATATTAACTTTACTAAACTGAAGACATAAAAACAAACATACTTTTGAAGATTTGATCCAAATAGCTCTGAATATTTTTCAGTTAATGGTCACTGTGCAGCATCTTAACAGCACAAGTGTGTCACTTAAACCCATGTGAACTCAATCAGTCACTGTGGCTTTGGGCTGAAAGTGACTTATTCTGTAGGTTATGATTATGTGATCTGGAGGATAACAACTTGTTAGTCAGTTTCATTGCTACAGCCGCGAGTGCGATTATTTCTCTGAGATGCTAAGACTTTTATTCCATGTTCTCACCTGTAGGTCAGGAAGTGGAAGATGCTGACCCGTCATCACGGTGACAGTTCAACCAAGCAGAAAGAAGCAGAGTCAGACATCCACCTGGGCGGTTGTCAGGCCTGGGGGATCCACACCTCGCCCTTCCTGGGCAGCCCAGTCATGCTGGAGTGCTCCATCTGCAGTGGGCCCTACATTAGCTACACCCTGGAGGACACCTGGCAGCCACGGCAACGCACACAGGCAAGCTCATTCTGCTTATAGACCATTAAATTACAAACACTTAATGTTCAGTGGTCCTCACAGGAAAGAGTTTTCAGGTGTCCTAAATGGAAAAAAAGGAAATCCCCAGAGGCACTCTTGACTTTTAATGTCTGAGTTAATACAACAGATCTCTTATTTACTCAAAACTGCTGATGTTGGTGATAAAGAGATAAATCGCACACTGCCAAAACAGTCTTAATAGAAAGCTAGATGAAATTTACAATTATAAAACCCCACATGCCCAAGTTTAGGACCAAACCAGAGATTAGAGGAAACAATTTGTCCACAAGGGGCACCAAGTTTGACACATACCGAATTGTCGTCACAGGAGCTTAAAAAAGCCTGTTTTTCATTCATTATATTTTAAATGTGTACAGTGTAATATATTTTGCAGTTTTAGTCAGAAAACATGACTTAAACATGAGCATGGCACATTCAGCAGAGAGAAGAGAGGATGCCCTTTGTCCCCGGTGTTCAATAAAGTAAACACTAATCAAAAGTTGCTCGGAGGGGAATTTAAAGCTCCTGTGAGGAACTTTTAGTTTTCATCAGATTTGGCGTCCCTAGTCTACATATTTAAGAAGAGCCTTATGACAAAAAATCTTGTCCTGCTGACTTTTGACTGTCAATTATAAACTTTCTGTGATTATATGATCCTTGCACAGATTTAAAGCAGTAAAAATAACTACACATACTGTATAAATACTGTATAAATACAGTCAACCTCATCACTGATGCTCTTGTTTGCTCGTGTATATCAAAGAAAAGCTTCAATATGAATTTTAGTTTGTTTCATAAGCATCAAAAACACCTCACAGTTACCTGTATTTTTTGAAAATGTTAAAAACCCTCTGCATGGATATGGTTGCACTTTTGAGTTGTAACTCAAGCAGCTGAGTAACAAGCTAACAGTAGTTCAAGGTAATACTTAATGTGTTTGTACCTTTTTACAGGGCAAAACCACCCAAAACCAGTTTCAGAAAGTCTTTAGATGGTAAACTGTTAATGATTTCTTGTGTTGTACTATAAACACTAGTATTTTGTTAGGTAATAAAGACATATCATGTTCAACAAAATGTTATAGTGTTATAAACTGATGGGAAATTCTGATGTCACTGTGAGCAAGATCAGTTAAGGAAGCTTTTCACATTGAATTAAACCAATATGAAGTCAAAGTTTATGATTTGACTGTGAAATGTTTTACTTACTGACTCGCAGTTGAGTCATCAGAGCCTGTACCTCTCCTTGACCCTTACACATACTAAAACATGTCCTTTCACAGCCCAAATGTTCCATTTTCTTTTGAAATGTAAATCCAAAATGAATTACTCATGAACAAAAATCCTAAACAGGCAGTCACTGTGGATACAAATTTATCAGATCTGTATCCTGAATCAATAAGGAAGAGGAAGAAGAATAAGAAAGGGCACGGTGGGGAAAAGATGTTGACGTAAGAGGGAGTACCGTCAGCATGCAATATGCATGGGTATATGCATGCATGTGGTCCAAAAAGAGAGGAAAGGATGAATATTTGAGGCTACTGTCAGGTACTTTAAGACTTATACTGTGATGAAATGACAAGCATGATAGGCAGAGCGTCAAAAGCAGCGCTGCTGAATGAATAAACAAGCTGATGAGATTTAAATGACTCACACACACACACACACACACACACACACACACACAGGAACAGGCACATATTACGCACACATGCCTCAGCTTGTCTTGGGAAAAACACCCATGGGAGAGCACTGAGAGCTGCGATAAGTTTTCAGAACAGCAGCACAGAATAGCAAACTAGGCTAAGAGTGTATTTAACAAAAACACTTTGAAGAGGAAATGAAGGACAGCCACATCACTGAAAAACTAATATTTGACATGATGAGGACATCCTGAGATGCAAATGCTGCTGTCCTGTGATAGAGTGAAGAGTTACTGTTTGTGGGAAGAAAAAAGTAGAAGAGACTGAAGTAGAAACGAAAGAGACATTTGAGTCAGTGAGTTTGTACATACTCAGGAGTGTTTCTCAGGCAGTCATCACCACACGTAAAGGGCAGAGTGTCGACTCTTGCAACAATATGGGTCAGGTTATAGACTACACCCTAACACGTAAGCTACACATAATGACATCTACAAAGAAATGATTATGCTGTAACCTCAGTCTAATTCATATAAACTCATACAATGACAAGTAAGTCAGTTATGGTCAACACAATGAAATGCATGTTGCTTTGAAACGCTTTTTTTCCCTCAAAATTTACTTTTCAAAACCTAATAAAGCAAAAAGCACACGTCAAAGGATGTCACCAGCCATGCAGATCCAGACTTTTTTAACTGGGGTGACCTAAGTTGGGCACCGACTTATGCAAGGGAGATTTTAAATATGTGTTTATTACATTCAAGAGAGTAGCATCAATTTTCGTCACTGCTAACTGTATTTCCTTAACCTCCTGCCAGACAAGCATTATTTTTAGCTTAAAGCTCCCCTGAGGAATTCTTCACTGGTTATGAAACAGACCTATGTTGATACTGATGTCTTCAAGTGACCTATAAAAACAAAACCATCAGAAGAAGTCTGGGTATTTTAAAGTGTTTTGTTTTTTTCACACACACTCCTCAGTTGTTGCCTTTTGCCTTAATGTGGATCAGAGACATTCCTATTTCAAACCTTTTTAATTGATCACAATAGCCGTTAAAGTCCAAGTTTTTCACTAAGTCACAACAGAGCAACAAAGAGCGACAAAAGGGGACAACATCAGTATTGTAAACTCTTTTGAAATAAACTAGTAAGACCAGTTTGGATTATGATATCAGTTTCACAAAAGCATAAAAGAGCTCTGTTGTTCTAAAGTTGGAGGTGAAGTTTTCCACCACTTTCAGTACAGGGCTACAGTCAGTTCAAACAAAATGTACCAGTCAATTTTGAGACCAAACATTAACAAAAAGTTACATCACAGTTGTCAGTTTCACCAAAAGGCTTTTTTTTAAACTATAAATTAATCCCAAAATCCTTGTACAAAAATAACTTTATCTTAACATAAGGATTTTAGTCTCACCTAGACACATTAATATTAGTCTTGACAACATATTGTTAGAGCTGGGGTTTCCCACCACTTCCAGTAATTTACTGCAACCTCACCCAGGAAACCCAGCCTCATTAAGACTCATGTGGGGACACAAGTAAAAGTGGGGCAAGAAGAAGTCTGGGTCAGAACCAGTCGTCTTAGAAAGGCTGATTTAGAGGCGTGCTTTTAAAACGTGACCTCCCCCACAGACATTGTGCTCTTTTCATGAGCTGAGGAAGGTGGCCTAGATCTGTGGCTGCCAAATGTTGTGGTTTAAACCACTTACACAAAGCAATGCATTTGCTTTTATTAAGCAGCCTCCACGTCTGTGTTGTTTAAAATAGATACTGCAGGTTGAATAGAAAAGGTATGAGAAGGAAGAGGATGACGTTGTTTAGTTTGCTGCAGTTTATATTTCATAAAATCTATCAGGAGCATTCAACGCCTCATGACCTGCATCTTCACCCACACCATAGCTTGTCCTGCTTACTTTGTCCTGCCAAAATGATCTGATGTGTTTATTAGATGTTAAGCCTTAGGGTTGGGTAGTTAAAGGTTGGAGAACACCCATTATCATTTATCTGTATTCAAAGAGGACAAGTCAAAACTGGATTTGCAGGGTTGTGCAAAAGCGTGTTTTTGAAGATGTCACATCTTTTTATGATCAAAATATTCCCAGCAGGAACCAAATATACAGCCTGCACATCTTTTGTAAAGGAGTCCTGTTCACAAAAGGGTGATTCATGCAGGTCTGAATACAGTTATTGTTACTGTTTGTTTGGTTGAAGTTTTTAATCATCTCTCCACAGTATCATGGGTTTAAACAAGTGTTGTGCCACAGAAATTCAACATACACTTTTATATAATCTAGATTTTATTCACATATTTCTGTCTTTATGTATGTTTTTAATATGGTCATGCTGTATTTCTCTCCAGGCGATGGACCTGTACTGCCACAATGAGTCAGACCCAGACACCTACTGTTGCCCTGGCGACAACAGTGAGTATCCTGGCCACTAAGCCCCTTTTTCTGTACTCCTTGTGACAAAGCACCTGTAACATGCTAGCTCTCATCCCCTGCTGTGATTTTCTCCATCAAACCTGGGTCATTACTTCTAGCCTATCTGCTTTCATGTTTTATTGTCTAAACCTGTCCAAAATTGTCTTCTACCTCTCATGTTCCGTCTTATTCCTCTTGTTTTGTTATGTCCTTTTTCTATCACTCTGGTACATGCAGGAGCAACATGATTCAGCTTGCACACACATGCACACACACAGTTTTGTAACTTTGCCTTACTGAACCACTTGGCCCTCTAATCCAACCTCTAAACCCGCTGGGTAATAACCATTGTTCATAAACCAAGATTGCTATTTGTTGTTTTCGAAGAAACCAGCTTCTAAAGCAAAACAGTAGTTACTGACATGAACCCGAACGCTGATCATCACGCATGCACACACACCTGGTGACCTCTGGGACATCTGTTTACAACCTCTGCCACTCACTGCAGCAGAATTATGATAGCATATTCCTGAGCTGGTTGTTGACCTTTCATGTGTGTCACTGGGTTATAGTCCAGCTTTTTCATTGGTTTACAGCTGAGATGACTTTAATTACCGTCATGTTTTGAGTTACTGCTGCAAATTAAAATCAGATCCAAAGTACAAGATGATTAAAGTGTGCGTGTCACAATTTGGCACAAAGTCTATCTGCTAATCTTTATATTGGTACCTTTTACTCTGCTGTTATTCTGACATTCGCCAAAACAGGAGCTGCTGTTGTAAACAGGCTTTTAGTAAGATTTGAATTTACTTGTCTCACAAATCCAAATTTCACATACTTCAACTCTAATGATAGTATAATTATACTATTGCAACAGCTTTTCCACATAGGAATCATGACCCACTGCCGTTTCACGCTGTGTTAAAACTGGCAACACACCAGTATAAAAATGCACTTACAGTATATTGAAATGACTAATTATGTAAGTATGTAGGTAAATTAAAAGTAAGTTACATACCTGTTTTGATTTTTATCATTGGCAGGATCAAATATGAGGACTTTTATATGATCAAATATGAGGTCTCCATCTGTTTTGTATGCACAGACTCAATTTTTAAGATATCAAGTAAAAAAAAAAAAAATTCATTATATTATTCAGCATTGGAGCAATGAGATAAAATCAAGAAATAAATCTACATTTGCTAGTTCACATATTCTTGTCCACTTAGATGAATTCAGACTTTAGTGGTATGTCTATTGTGAAAACGCAAATAATAAATGAATAAAGAAACTTTGACTTAATATTCAGCCCTGGATAGACTTCTCAACTTCTAAGCATCTCTCTTTAGGAGGCAACGCTTTGTGGCAAATCTTAAGGTCTGTTTCTTTTCATAGCCCTGGGTGTTGGGTGACAACAGGGGCGAGGGATTGCATGGGTCCCCCTTTAGATGTGATAGGCCACCCGAGGTTCCTTAGGTCTGACTGACTATTTGCCATGTATGAGACAAGTTTTTGGATTATACTGGTAGCTGATGGGTTAAATTGTGACTGTCTCCTATGACTACAATTTTTATTTTGTAAACTTTAATGCCTGAAATCTTTGTGAGTGGGTAAGTGTCACCCAAACAGCAGTGGAAACAGTTCTGTTTTTACATAACTATTTATAATAAATGATATATTTGGTGCCAAACTAGGTACAAACCAACATTTCCTGAGTATTTTTGCCAATAGGAAGCTTAAGAGAGACAGGAAATGTAAGGAGTAAGGAGAGGGGGGACAACATGAAGCAAAGGGGTGTGGCAAGTGGTTGAACCAGCAACCACTGTAATGAGGACTGTAGCCTCTGAATACCCAATCATTGCCCTAAACATCCTCTTTTTGAGTCTTTGAAGTCTTAAGCTGAGAAGATTTATATGTTGCCACTCTGTTGTGTTACTAAATAAAGTACAATAAAAACTTTCTACACCAGAATATTACATCTGTATGATACCCCCGTATGAGTCCCATCTGTGTCACCCCAATCACAAGACTCTGGACAGGTATCCAACCTAAGGTAACCATCCATTCGACCTCTTTTACCCGGACATGTCCTCTTTTTGGGGGGCTGTCCGGCCTTGTCCAGGGGAGTTCATAGAATCCTTTTGTATGGAAGTTTTGAGTTTGTGTAGCATGGACTAACTGAGTTAGAAGTAAAAAACATTACCCAACCCAAAAAACCCTCAAAATTTACTATGCACAACTGTTCCCTGCGTAGTAGTGACCTCTTTTTGGGGATTCAGAATATTGTCACCCTAATCCAACCCCAACAAGGAATAAATGAGACAAGAGCCATGCTCTGATGAGCTATTTGTCTGGAAAAATGATCCGTTTTGTCCAACACAGAAAAATCAGAGTAATTAGTCGAGCTGATGACAACCTGTTTCTGTGGCCTCGGCTGTGATGTTGCTTCACCTTGTTGTTCCCACACCAGCAATTACTGACTTTAGGAGTGCTTTAAGTTGAAGTTTGTCACATACTATGAGCCATGTACAGCGATGTAGTGAAGAGAGAGAGAGAGAGAGAGAGCAGCAGTAGTCATAGGTCCAGTAACAATAATTACACTCCTGACCTTCTAATTTTACAGAGCAACAAATGTCTGTTCTTTGACTCCACTCTGAAAATGTGATGTTATATAACTAGGAACTTCTGCAGAAAAACCTGTCATTACAGCTCATTTACACATTCATCACTGACTTTATAGAGCTACTCCAACTGGGAGGACAACAGGTTTATGTAACAGAGTCAGAGCGTGTTTTGGTACATTCAGACTTAACTCTTTATAATGTGAACTGACCCAAATGAAATCACCAGTGAAGCTCCCTTTTCTAAAGCTCTTATTTACTCTTTTCTGTCTCTATTCACGACGCCAAGCTCACCTGTGTCAACTTGTCCTTCACAGGCAAACATACACACCTTTCCACAGACACGCACTGATACAACAAAAACACATGTATGCACTTTATAAGCCAATGCGGCACTCCCACAGCAGAGACTTTTGACAGTTGAGTGTTTGAACATGTTTGTTGGTGTTTTCAAGTTATCAGACTGACAGTTATATTCAAAGAAAGGACAGCTAATGACATAATGTGCTGATCCCTGTTCCTTAAACTGAGAGTTAGCCTTTTAAAATCTCAGCCTCATAGTGTAGGACAGAGGTCTAGAGGTTCAGATCAGTCCTACATACTCTACATAGCACCTTTGTTGCATGTCGTTCTCTCTTTTTCTCTTTTTTCTCTGTCTCTGAGTGGGTCCTATTAATGTGTTTCTAGTGAGTCCCAGCTTCACCGTAAACACTCTGGCTGAAAGGTACAAATCTGTACTTTGTCGGGTCTGTCTCTAAACACTTGATCCCCGAGCGCACCAGCGCATTTGATCCGTGTGAACAAAGCCATACCAAATTCTGGCACCATGCCTGAGTCTGCATGAAGTAGTGGTCTCAGACATGGCTCATGGGAGATGTAAACCCAACCATCGCACAAGGAATTGGACCACTGTATACAGTAATATTATAACTATTCCTATTTGTTTGTTGTATCCATGTAGCAAGGTCCTGGTTCAACCACTGAGCTGCATGCTGGATACTGAGGAGTGAAAGCTAGTAATAGGGTCATTGTTAGCCTCTCAAAAACATCCACAGCAGCAGTACCGACTCTATTGTCCAACTTTAATGTTGCCCAGTTGATGATGTGGGTCGTTGCCAAGGTTACTTTTTCTCCTTCTTTCTTCTTTCTGGCAGATTTGCAAACCAACTCCTAGCATATTGCAATCTACTGTAATGAACTGTGTGCATATGCAAGTGTATTCAGTATTACTGATGTGTAAGTAGGTCAACAGAGAGGCAATTTTACCAGAGCACAGTACAAAACAAATTTGCCTATTGGGAAAACACACTTGTTGAATCAAGGTCAGATTGATTACTTCTGAGGTTCTCCAGCAAGTAGGGAGGTTCAACGTATTATCATTAATGTTGTCTTTTTGCCAATGCCACAAAGATCATAAATCAGCTGAAAGACAACTTCATAACACATCACATGAATCTTTGAGGAAGACTGCAGGAAGTTTGTGGAAACATGTCAAGGCAAAGAAGAAAAACACAAGTCTAGATATAAGACATGAACAAATTATTGGTCTTATATAACCCTGTTTTTTAACTGAAAGAGAGAGGGATAATGCAGTATTTCCATGTTAGAAAAGTCTTGCCTGAGGGACCATGGGTCATGGTGTGAGATATTCTCCAAAAATGCAGCTGTGCAGATGTATGAGTAACCTTGCCACTGAGTTGGAAGACTAATCTGATGTAGTTCTTGGCTGTTTGACATGAGTCATTTGTCCTGTTGAACTTCAGTGGCAGCGTTATTGAATTTGAAACTAACTAGATACATTATTAGTTAATAAATACCACAAAGAGTGGCAGAGCTGCAGTAACATGTTACTTAGAAACACATTAGTCACAATACTGGTATGTACCTTGTCTCAGCCTCACTAGTTCAGAGAAGTTAAAGGGATATTCTGGCATAAATTGAAGTTATGTTCAATCAAATCATAGACACCCCCTCGAGGGATGAAACCTCAACCAAAAAGCCACTGTATAGCCACAAATAATGCTCAGAACAGCACCTAACTTCATCAACAGCACATATTAGGTCCCAACCATAGCACTAGTCGTCAAACATCGGTGATCGACTTGTCAGGGCTCCCCCACAAACATGCGGCTGCTGGAGAAGAGTAGGTGAGTTGTGTTTGGTCTCTTTGCAAAAGAAACAAGACAAAGCTAAAAAGATGTTCGATTGCTAGTACTATGGCTGGGACCCTATATGTAACGTTGATGAAGTTAGGTGCTGTTCTGAGCATTATTTGTGGCTATAGAGTGGCGTTTTGGTTGAGGTTTGTGCGTGGAGTTATAGACTGCTGTGTATTGCTATTGTACAGTCATTGCTGTAGTTGGTATAATTAGAGAAGCAAGCAGTCGGCAACATTCATCTCTCAAGGGGGTGTCTAACTCAGTGTTACGTGTGTTTGACCATAATTTAAATCTACGCCAGAATGTCCCTTTAAACCACAGCCATTCAATGGTCATCTTTATTTTCAAAGTTAATCCTCCCTGTATGTTAAATTGTGCTACATTATCCTCTGTACTGGTAACAGATTGTAGTAGCACTTAATTAGAATTAGATAATCGCTTCTGAATCCTTGGACACAGTCTACATTTTCATTTTAATGAGTCCCAATTAAAAAGATGGTTTCTAGGAACTGTCCGGTTATATATCAGTTCATTTCAGGGGAATCATTATAAAACCTTCAAAATAAAGTATTATGAACTTATGAACCTACACACAGACCAGCTGACAGAACCACACAAGTCCAGAGAGGTCTGAACTGTCCACTTCGATGATTGGCACAAGTAGGTTACACACAGACACATGCACAAACACATTCTCACTAATACACACTCACACAATGACAGAACGCCATCGCAAAATAAAAGCCTGGCTGTCCTCTCTGAATAGCCGAGGTCTTTATGTAACGGTGTCATTTGGTTCCTCACCACTGAGGCTCATTCTCATTCAACACCAGATCAAGTATAGCCACAGACACCCTCCTCATCCTCCTCCTGGGCGCAGGCATCACAAGACTGAGGGATCATGGGAAAACGAAAGATGCACACAGGTTTAACGGACAGATGTCGTGAGCGCTGAAGACAGCGTGAAAATGGGCATACGCTGGTCTGCGAGTGTGTGTCGTTACCCTCTAGGTGGGTGGATTGAGTGTGTATGAGTGTGTGTTTATACGAAATTCCAATATCCTGCACCTCAGCCCCTCGGGCACGGCAATGAACCGCTTCCTGTCCTTTCACGAAATGGCCTGCTAAGTGTGTGTGTGAGTCAATGATGGCTTTGGCACCGATGACAGAACCACTAGGGGGTTACATAACGCACTGCCCTCTCTCACACACACACACACACACACACACACACACACACACACACACACACACACACACACACACACACACACACACACACAAACACAAATAGAAAAGCAATAAACACACAGCTCAAGTAATTGTGGAGCCTCCTCTTGTTCGGGGCCCAAAACGCAACCAGCCTCTAAATCCAGACGGGAAGGGGGGCCAGATAGGAAAACTACTGAGGAGGCCTTTTGTTTTGTACCACTCCTTCTCTCCCTCTCTCTCTCACTCTCTCTCTCTCTTCCCACTTTTTTTCTTCTTCTTCTCCTCATCTTGTCTCAACACCTCTCCTTCCCTTCATTCATCTCCGGGCTATGACTGCAGATTCACACACAAGAGCAGCACTTACACCCATCGAAGGAGGTAAATTCTTCTTCTTCTTCTTTCTCGTTGGCAAAAATCCCTCTTTTATTTGTTGTTTTCACTTTGGTCTTAACTATATCAGATTGAGAGAAATAAAAGCTAGCTTGTATCATTACTTATGTTGGAAAACTTGTGTACCACAAGGTTTTAGAGTTATGTAAAATCTCAAAACCAAGATCAGGGCAAGTTATGAAACCCACCAAAGGAGGGAAAACGTATGTTGGTGGAAGCAAAACTTGCTAAATGCAACCAAACAAAATTAAAAAGTTTGATTGAATAAGATTTACTTTACTTCTTATTTGAAACACAGATCAGATCTGAAAACTCCAGCATACACTAACTCTGTGCCTCTTAGGGGGTGTGGTTTCAAGACACGAAAAAATGTGGACTCTCTGTTTGTATGGAAGCCCATGTGGACATACATCTTTACATTTTATGCCCTCATTTTTCACCACAGCAGATTAATTTCTCTTACTTAAAAAAAGTTGCTTTTCTCAAAATAACGGTCTGACTTTAGCAGTCTAGAAAACAATGAGCTAGTCACTGTGATAGACCAGACCACGACATACCACGCTGCTTTTGACCACAATGAGGTAAACTGGGATGATTTGTTTTGGCCAGAAGGGTTGTGATCATCTGATGTTAAGTCTAGATCTTTATGTAACAAGTAGCTTGTTATCAGGGTAGAGAGTAGATAAAATGTCCTGATGTTTAGATGCATGTCTGCTTACTGCTGTAACAAGGTTGAAGTTCAATGCATCATCCTAACTGGAAATCAACTCACTAGCTGGGACTTGTAAAAGAAAAGTAAAAGTTTTAAATACATATGGGTGCTTGGGGCTTCTTTCATAAGTCTCTGGATCCACTTCTTATCATTGTTGCTGTATAAGTGAAAGTCTTCAGGAGTTAAACTCTTTGTCTGTCCCTCTTCTAGATCTTAAACATACAATAGTCCGTCTTCATTGTTGCATATATCCCAATCTGTTTTCATATCTGTCAGTTTTCAAGGACAATGTGTTTGCTCTGCTGTCTCCTGTTTTCCCTGTGTTCAGATTATCCAGATAAGGAAATTGGGATGTTTCACTCGTTTGATGCTTTCAAGCGTTGATAGGAGACGTCAGTTTGAGTCCCACATGGAGTGCAGCTGTAGTGTCAGTGCTGACGTGTTGTAGATTAAATGCTTCTTGAAGCGTAGCAGTGCTGCAACCTTTGCTGTTTCAAGGAGAAATATCTTCATCTGACACAGCTGTGTTAAGTTTCTGCAGGAGCAGAGAGGAAGGAGTGTTGTCAGACACCTTTAGGGAGTTTAAATAGAACCTGATGTGCTCTATTTTTTCTCTTTGTTTAAGAAAATGTGTGTGAGTGTGTGTGTTTGTCACTGCATGTTCAGTCAAGTTTTGGTTCAGGTTTGTTTGGCCCTCTAGATTATGTGTGTGTGTGTGTGTGTGTGTGTGTGTGTGTGTGTGTGTGTGTGTGTGTGTGTGTGTGTGTGTGTGTGTGTGTGTGTGTGCGTGTGCGTGTGCGTGTGTGCTGTCAGACTCCCTGCAGGTTTGTTTTGCCCTGCAGCCTTGCGTGTGTGTGTGTGTGTGGATTTTGTGAGTGTGAGTGTGTGTGCTTCAGGTGTCTATGGGGGGACACTTAATAATAGACTTGACCTAAGCAAGGAGGGGAGTTGGGGACAACAGTGAAAAGTCGAGGCTATATTTAAAAACTGCAGAGTCACACACACTTGAACACGGTGATGAGAGGTCAGAGGTCAAGAGCAGAAGAATACACACTTTCTCTCCCCTCTTCTCTCTCTCATATGACTCCTGACTCAGAGCCATTTGTTCGAGCTTTAATTGCTGCATATCTTTGGCATTGTCTTTCCAGCCCCATAACAACTCTGCTGTTCCTGAAAAACACACACCTTGTCACACACACTCTTTTGTTCCCCATTAGAGTTGAGCCTGCTCTACTGCTTTGCATGAACATGCTTTCTTTGTTATCTGTCCTTCCTCACTTTTGTCACACACTCCCACAGGCAAAACATAACCCTGAGGAAAAGTTCAGGACATTTCACATGGGAGAAAAATTCACAAAGGACATAGTTAATGATAGCCTTGACTTCCTGCAGCTCTTTATTCACTTGGTGAATTTCCAAATTCTAGTTACTTTTTAATTCTAGCTGCAGACGGTGAGTGAACCCAGAAGGCTGTAGTGGAAAAACACAGCAGATGTATGAAAGTGATTTTTTTGCTACTCATAAATCAGACTGAAATCCATACAGATCCCTCCTCATGACCTACAAATGCAAACACGTCTGATTTTAATATTTATGTTTCGTTATTTGAATGCCTGAAACTGCTTGCAGGGGGAAAAGTCAGAGACAGTGTCTGACTGCATGTAGATAAAACAGCTTTTGTTATATTTTACACTGATATTACTTCCAGTGAGTGAGATGTTTGACTGTAAATGAATCTTTTGTTTAATAAAGCACTGACGTTAACAGAGCATGATTGCAAAGAGATGATATGTGGCAGAAAAGTGGTGAACAACATATGCCACTTATGGCGTGGCTGGTGGTATTCTACAGGTGAGCCAGTGGCATGTGATAGTCGCAAAACCAGTCCTCTCAGTGGTATACCTACAGTATGCCACTCCATATATTTTCTTTGTTGAGAACAGGTGTGCAGCAAAGTCATTTAAATACAGAAGTGTCTTTTATGTGTATGACACAGTGACATAAAAGCTATTCAGCCGTAGTTGGTGGCTAGCCTGTTGCTTCAAGGTAAAGTTGTTTGTTTTATACTAACATATTCATGATTGGAGATGCATAAATAGTGTAGAGTGGGGTGATGTTTTTGGCTAACAGCTATGGTGGCTAGGCTCATGAGCTCTCGCCTGTTGTTTGAGTACAGGGACATGGACAGTAGTATTTTTAAATCTCCTCTCCGAGTGTTGACCACAGCTCAACTTCACTATGCATATCGAAGCACTGAATTACTTGTTATTGTAATGTTTGTGCATGAACTTTGTTGAAGAAAAGAGTTATATTTAGAGCTGATTCGCAGTGTCAAGCTGCATAACACCAAAATCTGGCTCAAAAGTCCCTCATTTAGAAGAATCAGCTTGGCTCAGTGGTTGAACACCCAGTCAGTCAAAGCAGGCGGCTTTGGCTCAAAGCCCATGTGTGGCCCTTTGCCACATGAAATTCCCAGTTCCTCACACTATGCACAGTCCTGTCTTCTTAATGAAAGTATGACAAAGCTCCAAAAAGTGATCTTGAAAAACCCTTCACTTCTTGACACGCCTGTCCATCTGTCCTTTTAATTTCGATCATAAAATCTGGACTTATTTTAGATCCCCTGAAAAAGTAGGAGCTCATGAGAAGCATGTGAAGGCAGCATATCCCGCCCCCCTGCAGGAAAACCCATGCAACCGGCCATGCATAAAACGGTAGAGTGGAAGGAAACAGAGGGCGGGACATCTCCGCCCCAGATAGAAGGGAAAAAAATCCAGTGGATGAAACTCTCTGAGGAGGCGAGAGCTGCTGAGTAGTTCAATAACCTCTCTGCCGAGGACCTTAAAGCCTCACTCTTTCTTCCTCTTCCTCTTCTTCATTTTCTTCTTGTGAATCGGACTACTAAAGCATCCAAAATGAAAGATAAAACGACCACCCTCACCTGTAAGTAAACTGCACATGTGTTAAATATCGGTCGTTGTCATGGTTAGAAGAAAAAAAAACTTTGATTCTTCTTCGACGCTTCTTGTTTCAATGTCGATCGATGATGATCTTATAGAGGGGTTCAAGGGTGTTCCTGCGTTCACCAGACTCTTGTGTTATTCATAGTTCTGTTGTGAGGCGAAAACCGAGACACATGGCCCACTTGTTTGTCTGTGGTGGGGGGAAAAAGTTCTGGCAGACATACTTGGGGGCGCTCCGTTCACCCCATAATCCAGTGACCTGGATTTATGATGCTGTTCTATGAAGACTCGCTGCCGGGGGTCTGTAAAGAAAAAAGAGCCACAAGAGTCTTGGCAACTCTCTTGAGCAACTTGTTGAACTCTTGAGCTGCAGGCTTTGAAATGAGAACTCGGTCAGAGCTGAAAGGTTTGTTTGTTGCCATTGAAACTTTATCCGGTCTGTTTTTTATGTAGATTAGATCTTCGGTTCTCGGTTAACTCTTGAAACTGCAGATTTGCATTAGATTTTCATATATGCATGGTTTTAAGGTTTATGCACGGCGCAGAAAAGTTGCAGTCGATTACTTTTCTCACTTAGTTATTTTCCTATGAAGTAATTCCAAAGCGAGGTTGCGTAATGGGCGCAATTTTTGGATACTGTCGATGTCATCCTGTTTCATTCTTGCGCACGATTTTTAATTTTGCTGTTAAAATAGATTCGACCTTCATAGATGAGTCAGTCTAACATACTTCTATTCCACGCTGGGCTGTAGATAAAAACCAGGTGCCTTACATAACCGTACCAAACTGAACCCATCTGCGCTAATGTGTGCCAACCAGCACACAAAACGCAGCACAGGATGGCATTCATAACCATAATTTCATTCTGATCATGACATCCAAGTGCTTTGACTGCTTTTAAGGGCTTTTATCGGTGGTTTAAAACAGACTGTAGGTCATATCTGTCTGTCCTTTTTCCCTCTTGTTTGAGATTGGTGTGTTCAGGAGTTTCTCAGTCTGTACTTTTCCACTAGCAGCGGCTTTTTCTTGGCACGGAGCCTCCCTCAGCTCAGGCTCTCCTCTCGCGTCTTTTGTATACCGAGGGAACCTGCGTCACTCTGGGCCGTTTTAATTGAGAAGCAGCCAAACAGTGAAGCTGATAGGGCTGGTTAGGGGGCGATCAGATTGTTTGCACAGGAGCAGGTTGCAAACTAAGGAGGGGAGAGAGTGAGTTACGTAAACAATCAGGAACTTTAAGAATAATGCAGAGAAACAAATCTGAAGAACTTTTAGCAGGGAGTTGTGTCATTCATCTTTTTTGCACTTTTATGTGCTTTTAAATCTTTAAAATGAACCATATGTTTTTAATGACAGCATCTGGATGTTATTAGCCTCAGAGATCTGTTTTTGCAGCCTTGTGGAGACACATATTTGCTGTCTCGGTGACAGCTTCAGGCAGTGACACATGTTCAGCTGAGTTTCTATGGTATTGCTCAAAAACATTTGCAAATAGTACAACTAGGTCTTTCATTGAGTGGTGTTGCGGTGAAGAACTTTTTCCTCTATTTTTTCTTTGTTTTTTGACGCAAGCGCCCCCTTAAAGGTGTGGCTATGACGCACCGAGAGCGCAATCGCCTCTGATTGGCCGAGAGCGCGATCGATTCTCTCCTCGCGGGCCATTTAGCAAAAGGAAATGTTTGTAGAGGAGGACGCCCACAAGGAGGTGTGGGTGGGTGTTGAGGGGAGGCAAAGGAAAGGGGGGCAGCTCCTCCCTCATCCCTGTCATAAAAGTAGAGTCAAAAAGGAGGAAAGTCATATTTTGTTTTCAGGCAGTTGATGAGCACAGAGCTGCTTTTCAACTTCTCAACATGACGATCAAAACAGAAACACAGAAGCCAGTTATGACTTACTCCAAAACTAAAGGGCTTGTGGCTTTACTCACCGGTATGGAAACAAAGCTGGATGCTCATTCAACACTTGGATTTTTCTGATTTTTCTCCAAAAAATCTAAACTTTTCTCCTTCTTTTTGCTTCTCTTTTGTATTGCAGCTTTCATGAAACAGAGGAGGATGGGGTTGAACGACTTCATTCAGAGAATTGCCACAAACTCCTACGCCTGCAAGCAGTGAGTACCATCTGACTCATGTTATTGTACCGCAGTCACTGAAGGGACAAAGCATTGAGAAACACGGAGCAGAAATGCCAGTTATTCTGTGTCCTCGGAGGGGACAGTGTGACTCAATTTGCCTCCCAGATCAGCTGACTCAGATGTAAACAATGCAGGATACTTTAGTGCTTAGTTAGGAGATAAACTTAATGAGATTTCTTTATTTTCCATTCCAGTCCGGAAGTTCAGTCTATTCTGAACTTGAGTCCCCCTCAGGATGCTGAGCTCATGAACACAAACCCATCTCCTCCTGTGAGTAGATTTTGCTTTTAACACTTTATTGTGATCTCCATCCTTTGTTTACATACACTATAAGCAGTGATACACAGAAATGCTCCATGTTATGGCTCTAAAATCATCCTTTCTCTCCTTTCTAGCCGAGTCCATCCCAACAGATCAACCTCGGCCCTTCCTCAAACCCCTCAGCAAAACCCAGCGACTTCCACTTCCTTAAAGTGATCGGTAAAGGAAGCTTCGGTAAAGTTCTGCTTGCACGGCACCGCACCGATGATGAGTTTTATGCAGTCAAGGTCCTGCAGAAGAAGGCTATCTTAAAGAAGAAGGAGGTAAACGCACGCTCGAGCACTAAAAAGTATGCATCCATCCCTGAAGTGTCTGCTCTTTAACCCTGTTTTCTTTGTGTTTCTCAGGAGAAGCACATCATGTCAGAGAGGAATGTGCTGCTAAAGAATGTCAAGCACCCGTTCTTGGTGGGCCTGCACTATTCTTTCCAAACGGCCGACAAGCTCTACTTCATCCTGGACTACATCAACGGAGGGGAGGTGAGTTACGAGCCAGAAAATGATGTGAATAGGCAGCAGAAATGATAAAAGACAGAGAAAGAAGCTGAGCTATTTATAGAGGAAGCTAAAAAAGAAAGATGTAAAGAGCAGATTTAAAAGATGGATGTAGCTGGAGGGGACAGAAATTTTCTAAGAGATGATTTAGCACCAGAGTCAGAGATTTAAAAAAATGAGGCACAGACAGACAGACACAAGGGGAAATCCTGTCATGAGAAGCAGAATAGAAGTCTTGTCTTTCTTTTTCTCTAAAGGAAACACCTCTCAGGAAATCATGGGGTGGGTTTGGACAGCAGGGAGAGACTCAGGCCAAAATTAGCAGACTCAGTGTGCACCTAATCGAGCTAATTTCCTGTGATTGTTGCAAAAGCAGGGACAGTGCTGATTAAATATGGGCCTCATCAGGAAACAGGATGCATTTACCCTCATTCTCCCTCTTCCCTTTCTCTTTTCTTCCCTCTCTCTCGCTCCACCTTTAGCCTCCCTCTTTATGGGTCAGACTTTTTAAGCTTTTATCTTCCTGACTCTTGATTTCCTCTCTGTCTTTGTATCTGTCGTTTTATTTTTCCTCTTCCTCTAATTTCCTCTTTCTTCTCATGGGATTTGGAAACAATCTCAAACATGAAAAGGACATTTTAGCTTTTGTTTCTATTGTCATAACCTTTGCTCTTTTTTCTTCCTCCCCCAGTTGTTCTACCACCTACAGAGAGAGCGCTGCTTCCTCGAGCCTCGAGCCAGGTTCTACGCTGCAGAGATCGCCAGCGCACTCGGGTACCTCCACTCCCTCAATATCGTCTACAGAGACCTGAAACCAGAGAACATCCTGCTGGACTCACAGGGACACATCATCCTTACAGATTTCGGCCTGTGCAAGGAGAACATCGAACCCAACGGGACTACGTCGACTTTCTGCGGTACACCAGAGGTAAGGACAAACTAAACTCCACAGTGTTAATACAGACCTCCTTTTTGGGCAGATTTCCGTATTATTTCTTGATATCCATTAATGTTTGTTTTGATTTTCTTTGCAGTATTTAGCTCCTGAAGTTCTACACAAGCAGCCATACGACAGAACAGTAGACTGGTGGTGTTTAGGAGCGGTTCTCTATGAAATGCTGTACGGCTTGGTAAGTGAAAGTCATTTAAATCTTTATTTTGAAGTAGCATCCCACTCTGAATATACTTTTGAAGTATTACAAATGCATACTTCACCTCAAATGAATCATGCACAACGACAAAAAACAAAGATAGCATCCTTATCTCTTTGCACTTGATGTGTTTCAGTCGGAGTTTCTGCATGACTTCAGCTGATTAAATCTCTTTCGTCATGTGCTTTTGTCGTCCAGATCCTAATCACTCTCTTCTTTTTGTCCCTCTTCAGCCTCCGTTCTACAGTCGCAACACTGCAGAGATGTACGACAACATCCTGAACAAGCCGCTGCAGCTGAAACCCAACATTTCCAACGCCGCCCGACACCTCCTGGAGGGTCTGCTGCAGAAAGACCGCACCAAGAGGCTGGGCTGCACAGAGGACTTTGTAAGTGTTTGGTCATGTGATCATACCTTCACACATCACTTGCATTTAAGGGCGTCATGTAACAGTTTGTATCTCTCCACAGATTGAAATCAAGAACCACATTTTCTTCTCCCCGATCAACTGGGATGACCTCAACGCCAAGAAGATCACCCCTCCTTTCAACCCCAACGTGGTACGTTCCTTTTGTAACACTATAATGAGGCCTCATGATGGTATGACAGTAAAGCAGCCAAAGTCCACAGAGTCAAATATTTAGCTTTACATAACTAGATCAAGAGAACGGAACATCCTCACTGTGGATTAAAACATCTCCAAGTATGGCCAGGTATTTTGACTATTCCCACCTGACTAATCCCTGTTTGTCTCTCCCCTCTGCCTCCCCCTCCTCTCTTTAGACGGGACCCAATGACCTGCGGCACTTTGATCCAGAGTTCACAGATGAGCCGGTGCCCAGCTCCATTGGCTGCTCCCCGGACAGCGTGCTCGTCACAGCTAGCATCAAAGAGGCAGCCGAGGCCTTTGTGGGCTTCTCTTACGCCCCCTCCATGGACTCCTACCTATAGGATCTAATGTAGTATGGACCCCAATGCAGACTCTAGACCTGAGCAGGGGTATGTCCATTGACTTGCATCTTGACCCCACTTTACATTTCCAATCAGGAAGATGGATCGATCAAACAACCCCTTGCAACAACTCAACAAGAATCCACACAAGCAAACTTTTCATTATCTCTATATCTCTTGAATGCATTTACAAGACAAGAGGATCCGGCCAAAATCAGAGCGTTCACAGGGGTTGTGGTCCTCCATCTTGCCCTGATGTACCAACGCACAAATCCTTCAAGATCCTTCACAAGATTTTACAAAAAAAGCTCTGCAGCCTTCAAATCTCTGAGTGGAAGTCCTTTGCACACAGCCAAGGTGGCTAACAAGTATCTACAACCAACAAGCACACCCAACAACTGTTTTTTTCTCAAGGCTGGACCACGCTGAACCAGCCCCAAGGAGGATTTCCATCTTTATCCATGTAGCCAAACATCCTCAAACTTTTGAGATTATGTCACATCACCCACAGAGACGGCATTTTTGAGTTTTAAGGAGTAGCTTGGAGATGATATCATGTTGGTGCTTTAGTTTCTTTTCATTTCCTGTCCGGGAAGGGAGTCATTCAAAGCTGAATGTTACAGAGGGGGATGTTTTATTTTTCTCTCAAATGTGCCTTTATTTTTTCTCTCCATCAGAGCTCACATCTTTTGGGTTTGTCCGGGTCAGTGTCACCTTGTTTTCTGGGTTTTTTTTTTATGGGAGTCGCCACAGCAGGGCGATGTAGCACTAAATCACAACACCAGTTCTGTTTTTAACAGGTGAGACTTAGACGCTCCAATTATGTTTCATATCTTTATTTTGCACAGAGAATAAAAACGGTAATACTGATAGAGAGAAAGAACGAGAGAGCACTGCTGCTAGGAAAGAGAGTCAAGTGTGTGCAGTTTTGCTTGTCCCCCTCATTTAGTCTTCCGCTCGCCTCACAATAACAAACCGACGGCCTTGAGCTGAGCTGACAACATCGAGGAACTGAACATTCCATTTTAATATTGCTGTAATGCAGTTTGATGGTATTTAAGTTTGTTTGTATATTTGGAGTCATGTGTACTAGTTTTAATGTATATTGAACAAAAAAACGACTAAAGGTATGCTTAAATATGTATATGTAACAATTCATGTTAAATGTACTGTAAATTGTAAAATTGTTTAAGATTTATGTGCCCATGTTTGGTTTGCAATAAAATTTTAACTTTATTACATCTTAACACTTGATTTTCATTATTGATAAATAGACAACATGAGCCTTTGATTTTCTTTAAAGCTCCTATGAGGAACTTTTGGTTTATGGCGCCCCCTGTGGCAGTTATTGAGCACGTGGTTTATTTTTTTTTAAATGAAAAATCTCAGCCTGCTTTATTTTAAGAGTCAAATGCTCAGCTTATTGAGAATTTTTGCGATGGAAATGTAAACAAAGGCTGTTGCCTACCCTGCAGCAGCACTTTCAGGTATTATAACAACACATTAGAAATAATAGATGATGTTTGTTACTCTCGTATTCACTTTCATAGTCCTTAGAGAAGTAACAGTATTCATTTCAGTCTGTGCCAAAACCAGCTAAAAACTCCTCACAAGAGCTTTAATCTTCAAATGTGCACTCCACTTTTACATAATCCCATATCAACATTCCCACAAATATTCAAAAAGTGAAAAAAAGTGAAAAGCAAATAAGCACACAGACACATTTTTTTAAAAAAAAGTTAAAACTTAAACTAAAAAATGTTAAGAATGAAGATTAAATGGTAAACATTTACAGGCCCCGGGTGCCGCCATACGCCCTACATTAGTTAAGAGTGGACTTTGCCCTCAGTCATGCGTCAGCAGCCTTACACAACGATGACAGTGACGTCCAAGTGTGAATGAGTTTGTGTGTGTGTGTGTGTGGACAGACCAGTTTGCAGGCAAATTATTGACTGATAAAGCCACTCCAGGCCAAACAATATTAATAAATCCAATTTAGCAGAGCGGGTTTTTATTGCACAAGAGGAGCATTGATTTTTCTCTTTGATGTCCAATCTTATCAATTAAAATTGAAGCAGAAATAGAACACTGTGTTATTAGATAGGTTACTGAAGGTCAGCCTGTTGGCTAAGTGATGATTACTCTCTACTGGGGCTAAAGGTGTTGATCATGGTTTAGGGTTTCTTCTAGGATCCCTTTACAAAGCATACTGAATGCCTCACAGATCCAGGGGGTTAGTGTAGGTGACCTCTGACCCCTTGCTGCCTAGGAAAGTAAGAAAGTGAGTGGAGAATTTAAGCTGCAAACATTTTCATTGTAAGAGCATCGTAGGAGTGCTTTCTCACTTGGGCAGTGAACCTTTCAAAGATTTGCACTTGTCCTTTTAAAATTCGATTTTGGTCTTGAAGTGAGTTTTGAAATCCAGAGAATCAAGTCTGAAACACTCTCAAAAGAGCTACTGTCAGATTTTTTTATTATTATTATTATCACTGCAGCCCATCAGGGTTCCACATAATTATAAAATCCTGATAAGATCTTTGTGAAGCTGTTATTTCTTTATCCAATGTGGTAATCAACACAGATCCTACATGTGTTATAGTTGAGAAAACACACTCTTTTAGCCACTATCGTGTTTATATCATCTGTGCTGCAGACCCCGTGTTCAATTTAGTGCTGTTACGGCTCTCACCATGGTCTTTGTCTCTATGGTTTAATGCTCTCAGCTTTTGGAGAAGGTTTTAAAATGCACTCACTGCTATGAGACCATAACAAAAGCATTAAAATCATTTCAACCACAGTGTTTGATCGAGGTAAAATGTGATTCCACTACTGATTGTTTCTAATCAAGTGTAACTCACTCACGTGTTCACTGGAGACTGTTTTTACTGGGTAAGAATTGGTCAAATGCGCCTAGATGTGCTTGAAAGCGACATTCATACATTGCCATCTAGTGACCATAATATGAACTAATAAATTAATCCAGTCCCATTGTCTTCGGCCAAACATACTTTACACACACTATACAAGAGTTTGCTTACAACCTAAAAAATGAAGCAAAAAACAAGGTTAAGGCAGAAAAAAAGATTAAAAACATAGAGAAAATCATACAACATCAACTTAATCAAACTTAAGTACCAAATTTTGGAAAGGTGTACACAGTCTGCCATCTGTCCCTCAACTAAACATAGAAAAATGGATTTTCAATGACTTAAATGGTCTTGTTTATTAATGCTGCTGGACATCAGCAGCCCACAAACATGTTCAGCTGGCTTGAAAGAAAGAGGATGATGACAGAATGAAGACAGAATAAGGTCTGGTGTGTTCACAGAGTGGTCCAGTGGCCAGGACCTCCAAACCAGGTTGACTGTACTCCATGGAGTGGTAACTCTGTGTGCCAGAGATGAACTACTTTGGAGTGCCATTATAGAACAGATCAGGAGGCAAAACTATAAGGGCCCCTACTAAATACTTAGACCCTTAAGTGGTCCCAAACCGTGCCCTGACTCATGTATGTTCAGACATAGAATGAGACAGACTCCTAACACAGAGCACTTTGATCGTGATTGGGATCACGGCTGCCAGCCAGTCAAGTAGAAGATCAACTCTGAAAATTTAGATTTTGATGACATGGAAGATGAAGAGGTTAACCCAACACATATGAGACGTTCAGTAGAAGCTCCCCAGAATCAAGATTCTCCACAATCAACGAGAATAGTATCCTGCCTCCTTGTAATGTTAAACAACCTCAGAAGCTTGGGTAAGTTATCGTAGACAATCTCTGTTAGACAGGGGTAGCTGTGCCTCAGTGGGAGAGTTTGTTTTCTCTCATTCAGAGTTTGGTGGTTTTACACCAGCTCCTTATGCTGAAGTGTCCGTAGAAGAAATGCTGGACCCCATCTGCTCCTTCTGTCAAAACCAGCAGCATAAAAGTATCAAAAGTGATGGTCACCGAGTATCATCTTTAAAAATTGTCATCATTTTCTGTATCATCTTCTGCTATCAGTGTATAAATGTAGTAGAATGGGTGGATTTGACATAGTGGTTGAAAAGACTCCCACCAGACTGAAAAACACAAAAATGGTACTGAGCATTTATCATTTTTACCATTTGTCAGGGTTAATGTGTAGTGAGCAGGTGGTTATGTGAATTGGAGCCCTGACAGGGTGAGTAGGATCCTACTGTAGTGCAAAGAAGTCTTGTCTCATAAATCACAGATTCTGAAAAGTCTTCAAGCCCACAGAAACAATAAGTTAACAGCTAGAGCTGATATATTAGTCAGTAAGGAATAATAAGAAGAAACAGTATTGACAAAGATATTTATATTTTTTGTTCCTTACAGAGAAAGAAGTCACCGGTGGATTCTGACTCCAGACTGCTGAAGATCAAATGAAGAAGATTCAAAGTTTTTAAGATACTCCAGTAACAAATATTTGCCAAATTCTGCCTCAACTCTTGCCTCACCCAAATAGACAAGGTCATGTCATGTTGGCAAAATCACAGCAGTAAGATGCCGACTTCAGACTGATGACTGTACGGACCTCCAACAGATAAACCTATTGAGAGACCCAACAGAAAGTCTGCCCCTCTGTTTAGAGCTGCTGAGTGGTGATTACTGGTGAGTTTTTCATCACAGATTAATTATTCGGCTCCAAAAAGATTCAAAACTGATAATTGTTGTGGATACTTCTAGGGTCATCATCAAAAACATCGTCTTTGCACTAAAGACAGTTCTACATACCTTATCTGTTGTTGCATCAGTGAACCAAAGCACTTACATTGGTCATCTTTTATAACTTCTGTCTGTTATAGTTTAAACCAAAATGCAAACATACAGTAAAATTCACTAAATATATCATCTCTCACACAGGAAGAAGATAAATGAGCTCAAGATCATCCGAGCTCGAGCACAGCACCACCAGGAGGAACTGCTTGATGAGGTGTGTTCTAAGGTGGTGCACGATATACAGAAGTTTCTCTTGTCTTTGTATTCTTTTATCTATAAGTGTGCACATTTACGTATACCTGCCCACCCCAAAGAAGACATGGAGAAGACAGGCCAAGCTCTGCTCTTCAAGAGTACACAAGCAAGGGCCACCGCATTTCTCCTGCAGCAGGTCGATAAGGTGCTGGAACTGAGCTGCAGTCCAGGACCAGTACTGAGGGTTCTAGTGACTACAGGGCTGGGGTATGTTCACAGAGACAATAACATCATGACAAGATCAGCAGTGGGAACATTTCAAATCATTATTCAATCATAAAAGGAGAAAAGTGACTGTGTTTGTCCTTGTCCTTTACAACCAGCTGCATGCTGCAATGAGGACCAGCACAGTGCAACAACTACACCTGCTGGCCGACCTACTGGGAGTGAGTGTAGTCTTCTCAGCTTTAAAAACCTCCAATGAGACTTTTCCGGGTACAGTGAACAAGATGGCTTTGGACTGTGAGTATTCACACTATGAAATAAATTTTCAAATTACTTATCAGACTACTAACTCATCTGACAATGTTCAGATTTTATTTTTGGCTCTAAATTGTATATTGAAATCATATCTCTCTTCAGTCCCCATGGAATGGTCATCCTTGTAGAAGTAGCCCTTCATAACGACTTTATGGTAGAGAGTTGTCACCGCAAAGGGCCAACCTTATCTGGAGAGGTTCCTGGCAAGCATAAGGCAGTAGTAGAAGAGAAGGCCCTAAAGAAGAGGACTTGAACTGATAACATAAGATAAGAAAAGCTTTATTGATCCCTGAGGGGAAATTCAATAAGATATAATAATAAGTAATAAAATAAAGTCCGATAAAAATCATTAAAGAAAACTCATCTCATGCGCAGTGTGTAGTGATGGAAAAAATGAATTATTGTCAGTAAATGAAAGGTTTTGCAAATTGATGAAATCTTATATTTGACTGAAAAGTACACAGCCAAAATTGCACTATGAAAATGAACTTTTTTTTTGTCTTGTGAAAAATCGATGCACATATCAGCGTGCTCTCAAAGCTCAGAGCACCAAAGGAACTTCTCCCTGCAAATAAGGTGATTGGTAAAAATAAAAATCCTTGCAAGTCATAAAATTTTTAGATAATGTTCCAGGGTAAATCTTCAAGAGGAATTGGCAACACAAAATAAAGTTAAGAGTGTAGGACTAAATAAGCGCAAGTGACAGCAAGGAAACAACTTGACCTGTCACCATATGATCCAAATGGAGGGTTATGAAGTTATCTAACATATTTTCCTTGGCTTTGGGCAGCTCCTCATTAGTTTTTTCAATCATAGAGGTTAAGCTGATTAAATACATTAGCTTCCTTAAATGTTTGCTCCTGCAACACTCCTTGTAGGGACAGGAAAACTCCCCACATGGTGGCGCTGTTGCACACTTATATTAATCGTACTGCATGGCAGTCACAGCATCACTAGATCATTGTTTTTTATCACAGCACAAATACAACAACCTCAAACATCAAACCAGCAGACCTCACTCTGCTTCAGAAAGACAAGGACAGATGGCATGACTTGTGTTAAAATGCAAGTGTTGACAGTTTAGTGTCTCTCTGCATCACTTGCACCCTCTGAAATTTCAAGTCCAACAAAGAGAGGAACAGTTCACAACAACGACAAGATCAATAAATATCCAAGCACATAGTGCGGACAAAGCAAAAATGCTGCAAATGTATTAATCAGCCATTATTATCTGTAGCACATAATGATATGATTGAATGACACTAATTCTGTTACGTAAAAGACTTTTTCATTTAAGTAACTGATAATAAGTGTGTACTTTGACATGAGTTAGGCCGTGACCTGTGTGGACCTTCAATAAAAGGATATTTTTGTACTCACACCGGTGATGCTAAGTTTCTACTGTTGAACTGGATGAACTGGATGTTTCTTTCACCACCATGAACTTTAAATCAAAACAAATTTATTGATTCATTCATTTTTACTTGTTCAAAGCAACATTATGCAAGGCTGACATTCCAGCTATCAATAGGTGTGTCTGCTGATTATAAAACCCCTGCACGGTGAGTTAAACTTTATCTTTTATTTCAGAAAGTTCATCAGAGTGGGCTCACATTGAGTAACAACTGGCCTTCATTCAGGAAATCAAGTCTTACAAACAGGGATCACATCATGTACTTGAGGATGTTACGTTTTGGGACAGCAATATTATTTATATGCTTTCCAACACGGAACTCAGGCTCCAGCTTTAAATGAGAAACGTAATCTGTGCTTTCCCAACTTGGCAAAGTACCTCACAATATGGTATTTTGATAGTATGGTAATCCTAGGAACAATTGCAGATATTGGCTAACTGAGGCAGTGTTTAACAAGTAGGCCACCTGTAGTAAACTTTGTAACAGAGTCATTACATAACAGCAGCACATGCCCCTGGTAAAGTCAACTGGGGATCAAATGACAGTGGTTAAAAACGGGTCAAAGTTTCTGACTCAATAGGCCATGTCTGGACGTCTAAAAACACCTCCTGAGAAGTAGGCCAAGCTCAAACAGAGTGGGCTACATTCTGTCACTTGTGAAGCAGCAGGGCAGGTGGACCAGGACAGCACTGCTGCATTCGTGGAAAAATGACACGGGAACCGGCAAACAGCAGGTGGCCTCCGGATTTGTTTTTACTTTCAGTATGGGAGAATCCGCATTATTGATACAGGTGTATTATATAGCAGGATACTTTATCACAGCAGGAAGCCCTTCATTATAACCTCTGGTGCAGCTGCAACTTGAACAACACAACAAAAAGAAAGATACACTAATTCTTTACCCACAAACTTGCATTATATGCCCGTGGGAGCCAATGTTATATTTTAAATACATTTTACTATGGGCGCTATCTTGTTGACAAGCTTGACCAATCGGATTTCTCGTTGGACGATCTGGTGCCCAATTCACCTCTCCTATTGGTGTTCTCGGTGAATGTGGGCGGGGCTTAAGGACTGCCTCAGCCAAAACAAGCCGAGTGCGTGCGGCGACACGAGTGTGTTGAAGCAAAGAAGAAGTCAGAGCAGTCAGAAAGTCTGGAGAAGAAAGTGAATGGACTGACAAAGAAGGTTTTAAGATAACATCAGAGACTGAGCCAGGGCGTCAGGTAGGGAACTTTTATTCTTACTTTAAAAGTGTTCAATTAAGATTTGTGCTGTGAAATCTGCTCAAAGTTGCACGAGAAGAGTGGACGAGCTCATGCTTGAAGTCAGCTGCAAAATTTGACTTTGTAATGGTGTTCCCTGTGATGGGCTTTGTAGTTTAGCCTCCAGAAAATGACCATGTCAGCATTTCAGCTCAAGTCACAGACTGTGAAGAGTCAGAAAGACAGAAATAGCCATTAAAAAGACAAAAGATTGGTCACACATCCTACCACACATACTGATGAAAATCAGATGGTGATGCAAAGTGAAAGCAAGAGGATTTTCCATGCCAAAAAAAAAAAAGTCTTCCAGACCATTTCTGTTTGTGAAAGACAGGCAGGAAAACAAACCTGAGGAGAGGTTAGAGGTCAAAGCTCAATAAACACAGCATGAGTGCTTAACTTTACAAAACCAGTTTCAGAAACTACTCCCAAATTCCCCCAACATCCCTGTCACAGAACAGCTGCAGGTGTCCACTGTGAGCTCCACAGAGCTGGTATTTATGACAGGGCGTTCATCTGGAAGCTAGATTGTCTCCAAGGCCACCCAAAGCATCAGCTGGTGTATGTTTGACTCTGGACTGTAGAAAAGAGGAAAACGGATTTGATCCTCTAATGAGTCGAGTTTTGCATTTCACTGTGAACACCAGGATTGGCTTCAACTTGGAATAGTTGAATGATGTGTCACAGTTGAGGTTCAGACTTGGTCTCTTAATACTGTTGTTTTGTTTAAAAAAACACAACTAGTAAAAATGTATTGAAAATTATTCTGTGGGCTTGACAAGGTAGAGTTTGGTTGCTGTTTCAGTCCTTATTGTATTATGCTGTTTTGTTGTCTGAATTTCCTGTTTTTCATAAAGGTGGATGATGATGGACCCCAATAGTGAGACCAGGAAGATGACCTCTTACCTTCCAGCTAATCCTTCTCCAGAGACCCAGAAACAGGCTCCATTAAAAGGCCCAGGTACAAACACAACAACAACACATCTGTTATATAATATGAATGTAGGTCAGACTTCAGGTATGTCCTTGCTATTTTGTATCAAAAGAGGCCTGTGTGTCATTAACATTTTATTCAGGGTGTACCTGTGTAATTCAAGGACATTCACGCACTCCCGCCCTTCAGCGTTAATTCTCTGGCATCCATTGCTCAGCCTCTTTACACACCTAAGTCTGATATTAAACTTAAAACTCATTATTAAATAAATGGGATCCTGAGTAACAGACACCACTAATCTGTATTTTGGGCTTATGTAAAAGGAGGTTTTTCCTCAGTAAAAATGTTCAGATAATTCAATAAACCTTCTTCCTGGAACAGATGTATGAAATTCTGAGAACTCAACAATTGTGATCGTTCAGCGACTACAGTTTCCCCCCCCTTTTTTTGCTGTATCGACTGTTTTTCTCAATCGCTGATTAATGATGAAGCCAAAAGTTGTTTATGGCTGTAATTATGCATGTGCACCAGGGCGTCCTGACCTTAGTAGCGCATAATCGAAAAATGTCATGCCCCTTTGTCACAAACTGCCTGCTCAACAAAGTGGAGAAATATTTAACTAGCAACATTTGATTGCACAAAACAAGATCAGGTTGCCAATAAACACTATTGAAAGTTCTGGTTTTCTTTTAGGGGACGCAAATGGGACTCCAAATGGAGTGCCCGGTTATGAAACCAAGATGGTCCCTCACCTCTAATGTGTAATGTGTAAAAGTTTAACGTTTCTTAATCCAACCTTGCTGGACCTGGGCCCAGAGAAGCTGCCAGCTTTTCTGGATCAGCAAATATTAAGTTTTCTGTATGTTATTGTAGCAGCTAGATGTCAAGTAGTTTGTTTAGACAGAAGTGAGGCATCTTTTCTACAAAGCAGACTTCGATCAGTTGTACAGCTGCTGAAACGGGATGACTTGTATCCATAAGTAGATGCCTGTAAATGCAAAAAAGATAAGGAACGCTTATCTTCAAGTTGCTTAATCTGATGGAATAAAACATTTCGATCATGCCAATTAGGACCTCTCAAATCTGGCAAGCCATAAAAGATGTAACAGTGACAGGATTTCTAACCTTGGGGGATGAGGTAAAATGGGACAATAAGATTAAGATTAAGATTGAGATTAAGGATTATAATACTTTTTAAATAGAAGCAGTACAGCCCTGGTTATATAGTAGATTCCTTCTCATTGTCAGCCAAGTAACGGAGAAGCAGGACACAGATCCTATTGCAGACACTGTTGTTTGTCTTGTATGTTGCGCTGTGAAAACCAAATTCAAACAGAACGTCTTCCCAAAAAGATTATCGGGACACTTGCAACACTTAGCCATCAAGTTGATCAGCAAATAGTACAAAAAGTCAGCGAGTTTTAACAACAATGAAGGAGCATCAGTACAATAACACTTAGAAGGACCTGTAATCTTGCTTCTTGACATTTATAGGTGAAATAAACGGTCTCCAATTCATAAATTGGTTGGAAATGTATATGAGTCTATAATCAGCAGCAGTGCCTTTGTTCTAAATCATTAGTTCTGGATCAGCTTTTTTGTTCGGCTGTTTTGATTGCTCACATAGACTAAGCACACTCACTCAACATGACTTACAAGCATTCTTTTTGTGAACCTCTGACCTCTGATTTGCACACAGTCAGCAGGGTTTGAGGATGTCATGGCTGGGGAAACTGGCTTTGGTCTTGATGTTATGAAACCCACATCTTGTCTCTGTAGTATCAAACTGGAGGAGCCTCCTTTTTTTGTTTTCCTCCAGAGGTTAAATAACAAATTGTTCGTAAATTTCTAAAACTTGCTAAAACTGGTTTAATTTTGATTGATGACAGAAACTTCGCAAGTGATAATTTTTTTCACAACAGAGACAACAGGCTGTTAACAACCCAACTAGAAGGAACAAATGATTTGTATGGTTGGCTTCAGTCCAGGCAGGTCACAGTGCTAGGTCAGCTACATAACACTTGAATGCTGCTCGGTGTCTTCCTCCTGAAAACCTCACTGCTACACATGCTTGTTGACATGGAGGCTCCAATCTGATCATCTCAAAAGTCTATCTAACAGCAGAATAAAACTCCAAAACAAAAGTGTTATAGCATTTAAATCTAAACTACAATAACACAAGCAAAAACAAGAAAAGGTCAGGTCGAGAAAATTTGTGATGAAAAAAAAAACAACTTTAATCAGTTCATTTGAGGCTAATCCCTTGGTTAGCACAAAACAAGGAAACAAATGTAAAATTCCTGGTACGAGGTGTTTTTCCAAAGAATTACATGATCCAAGTTTGGCTGAGCACCATCTTCTGTAATTACCAAATATGATATTTATTCACTGAAACTGGGTAAATGATCGGATTATGTTCAGGCTAATGCGGCAGGTGCCTAGCCTCCAAATGTTGGGTTAGGAGTTTAACAGCACTGTGTGAGCTAAATTTAAGGCTCAGTTATTCAAAGTTTTGAAAGTCTTACATACATCCTAAAGCTGCTGAGTAACTTTTGGTTAGTACTGATTTTAGCACCACCTTGTGGGGAAAGATGTTCACCTTGGACTTTCCTGATCTTGTTCTGTCTCTCAAGATGGTGCTATCTGTCAAAAACTCATCCTTCTTTTTTAAGCAAGTTAATATTGTAGTGTTTTATAATTAATTCCGTGTTCTATCAGCATGGAGGAGGGAAAGTTTCTGTTGCCTAGGCCTAATATCGTGACTTCATTTCTGTGCAGACAAAAATTACATATGGAGTCCCCCAAGGCTCCACCCTGGGGCCTTTTTTCGCTTTTACATTTATATGCTTTCACTTGCTGAGATAACAAAATAGATTACCATCACTATATAGTCGACAATCAGTCATATGTAAGAATATCAATATAAGCAGCCTGGTCTGCTCAGGTCATCTGAGACAGATACATGGAAACGCAGTGTTGTTCCTGCTCCATATACCTGGAAAACTTAAGGAAATGTCATGTTTGCTCTTTCAAATCTAGGTTGGAGACTGGCCCATTTGACTGCCTTAACAAATATACCTATATTAAAATGTACTGTCATGTTTCTGGTTGTATTTTTAAGCTGCCTTGTTGTATTTTGAGCCTCTAATTTTGTTACTTTTACTTTTTAATGTCTTTTTTGAATGATTTTTAAATATTTTCTTTTGATGTGTTTGTCTGACTTTAGTCGTTTCTCCTTGAATGACCAGTCTGTGTGTTTCAAAGCTTTAATCTCATCCTATATTCTGTTTGTTTATGTCCTTTTCTATAGGCTGCAGCTGGCTGGTGGTGGTGGCAGCTGTAGCGGCCTCTCTGAGCGGCCTGATGCTGGGCTATGAAATGGGTCTGACCTCTGGAGTCTTGCTGCAGCTGCGGGGCCTCCTCTCTCTGTCCTGCAGGGAGCAGGAACTGCTGGTCAGCTCCCACCTGCTTGGGGCTCTCCTCATCTGCCTGGCAGGTGGTCCTATTCTGGACCGCTACGGCCGTCGTTGCTCATTGCTCCTGAGCGCCGCCCTCGTGGTCGGAGGGACAGTAGTGCTCATTGCCTTCACCTCGCTTATTTCACTCACTTTTGGCCGGGTTATAGTCGGCATGGGTACAGCTCTGTCAGGGACAGGGGCCTGTCTGTACATTGCAGAGATCTCACCGAGGGAGAGGAGGGGTCTGCTGGTGACGCTGTACGAGCTGATGCTGGTTGTGGGGGTTATGTTGGGGTTTAGCTGTAGTTACGCCTTTGCCTCTCTGCCTCATGGCTGGGCGTACACATTTGGACTGGTAATCCCTCCTGCACTTCTGCAGTTCAGCGTGCTGTTGTTCCTCCCATCCAGTCCACGCTTCCTGGTCGCTCAGGGTAAGGTGGGGGAGGCCAAGAAGGTGCTGGCCAGAATGAGGGGCGGTGTTCAGGAGCATGTGGAGGTGGAGCTCAGAGACATTCAGGTTGGACTTAAAGAGGAGTCAGAGTACAGTTTCCGGGAGTTGTTTAGCTCTAAGGCTAACTTGCGCTCACGGCTGCTTACAGGTGTCGCCTTAGTCTTTCTTCAACAGGCTACAGGTCAGCCCAACATCCTTTCCTACGCTTCTCCTCTCCTTCGCAGCGTTGGCTACGACAGTGACGCCGCAGCGACATTAGCATCCACAGGGTTTGGAGTTGTCAAGGTAGTCGGCACCATCCCTGCTGTGTTGTTAGTTGACCGAGTTGGACCCAAGAGCTTTTTGTGCATGGGTGCTGTCGCAATGGGACTGTCACTTATTGCTCTGGGAACATTGACTCTGCAAAGCCACACCCACCTCACCAGCCTGTGTAAAAGTCAGACTATACTGAACCACACACAAACCCCATGGGAGTTGAATAGAACTGCTCTGGACTTGGAGGATACTGACTTTTTCTCCACTGACTATCCTCCCGCATGGATCGATGAGGCGGCGCAGCAGTCAAATGTGGTGAATGACGGGATAAGGGAGCCAGAAAGAGGAAGGACTCATGCAGAGGTGTCTTCATCACTGAGGGTGGCTTCACTGATCAGTTTGCTGGTGTATGTGGCAGCCTTCTCCATAAGCCTTGGGCCAAGTATGCACCAATACAGCCATTCTTTTCATATACAGACACACAAATCAAGCTAAACCAGCAGATCTGTGACCTACTTTGAGCTTTACTGTGAGGACACCCTTGGGTCTTTCTACCTTAAACATAGGATTACCTACTTACTCAGGCATTTTGCACACCACACCTTTCACAATGTTGCTGTATACAAAATAGCAGCTATGTTCCATATGCAGCAGTAACTGTAGGTCAATCTGTCTTATATAGCAGACTCTAATGACTGCATTATGTAACACATTAAGGACAAAGTACAGAGATTTATCACACAATCAATAGGGGTAGTATGATATAGGCTGAAATGACCTCTAGATAAAGCAGTCTGGACCCGGACTTATAAGGTTAAACTCACTCTAAAACTTCACACAAATGTCTGAAACATGTTATCTGTACTCATGTCTGATTAAGCTGAAGTGCCTTTGAGCTAAACATGAGTGCCTGTTGTGTTTCCTTCTGTAGTGGTGTATGTGGTCCTCAGCGAGATCTTTCCAATGGGAGTCAGAGGCAGGGCTGTGTCTGTGGTGTCAGCAGTAAACTGGGCCACCAACCTGCTCATCTCCATGACATTCCTTACAGTAACAGGTGTGTGTATGTGTGTGTGTGTTAATCTTTGTTTGTTATTAACCAGCAGGTTTAGGCTTATTGATGAGCTATCATTTTAGTGTACCTGAGGTCAGCTAAGGGTACGAACACAGTGTTCTGCTGTGTAAGCATTTGCTGAAAGAAATAACCAAAAAAAATCTCAATCAAGTTGTTGAAACAAAGACAAATGACTGTGTGATGTGTTCAAGACACCAGGAACAAACAAAAGCTTAGATTTGTGATCTAAACTATCATTTTTTACAGAACCTACAGAAAAATTAGACTCAGTCAACTCAGGTTGGAACGGTTCTGGCTCCTTAACTTTCTCTACATGCAAGAGCAGCTAACAATTTATTCCAGATCAAATATTTTAATCTTAGCAACTAGTGTTGTGTCATTCATGAACGATTCATTCAAAAGAATAGAACTGCTGAGTGAATGACGTGAATGGAATCACCCCAAGACCTGATTCATTCTTTTCTCAGTTCAGTTGAGCTCAGCTGCAAGCCTGGTGTGCCGGTTGGGAGTGGAACTACCGCCTTTGACTCTTTGGCAAACGACACATAGCCAGCCAGCGGGATGGCGGAGTCCCTTGATTTGCTCACAGTGATTAAACAACCTATATCAGTCAGCCTGTGAACAAAACGAACGACTTCTGACTTGAGGCAGGCAGAGGAAAGAGGGGTGTAGTGTCGTTCACGAACTGCCAAACTGTATATTCATTTTTAATCTCTCTACTTTTCCGGATATAAAAGAACGACGACTCGTGCTCTTTTGCGGGCGTGCTGCTTGCTGCTGTGTTGTTTCACTTGCGTTGCGCCGCGAACGTTGGTGGCCCACAGAGAGGAGAACAAACCATCAATGAAGAACTCCTGATCAGTGCCGCTGTGTCACTCACTTGTGTGCTGCACCTGGCAGGACAGGGTTCCGAAATACTGACTGATTTGGTGAACAAATCTTTTGAATGAATCATTTTAATGAACACATTCTAAAGACTCAGTACAATCATAAAAACTGTTCTCTCCGTCACTATGAGCAACAACTCTGCCTGCTCCTGCTAGGATTTTAAACCTGACGAATCTTGCTTTTTTACTTTTTACTTATCGGCAATATGGCGTCATTTTCTAACAAATTTAAGACCTGCTGACTGCAAGTTAACAACAAGACAGCTGTTTTCTTTGTGATCTCAGCGGATCAATTAATCAGCACGTCTCTACTGAACATACAGATAAGTTTGTTTCCAGAGGTGACGTTGTTATCAGATATTATCCAATAGATTTCAGTATTTCTGAGCAGAAAGAAATGTTCCAAAGTTTTTTTCCGGACATGGATTCAAATCAGATATTTCCAGGTGTCATAAAGTCAACCTTTCAAGTTAAGTCAACCTTTATTTAAAACAAACCAAGGTGCTTTACAAAGTAAAGAAAGGATAACAATAATTAATAAATGTTTTTAAAAAGTGCCTGAATCTGTCAGGATGACTGCATCCTCATCCCGAGGTGAAAGCCAAAGAGAAAAGATGGGTCTATAGTGAAGATTGCAAACATTTAACAGTGGGTGTGGACATTGTTCCCATCAATAGTTCCTATTAATCTGACCTGCTCTGAAGTCACACTGCAGCAAAATAGTTTCCCTACATCTAATCAGCCAGTCGCTCTTTAGGTCAGCTTTGATAGCAGTGAGTCAAGGAGTAGTTTTTCAAGCCCCGTGACCTGATTTGTAATTGAACTACAGCACAGCCTCCATGAAGACGTGGGCTACACATGTATTACTTTGATCTGTTTCTCCAGAAAGAATCGGCGTGCCAAACGTGATGTTTCTCTATGCCGCCATGAGCTTCGTTCTGCTGGTGTTTGTCATCCTCTGTATCCCCGAGACCAAAGGGCGCACGCTGGAGGAGATATCAAAAGAGCTGGCGAAGAAGTGAGGCAGCCTACATTTGACCTACCTGTTTGTTTACCTTATGTGAAATTTGTCATGAAGTTTCTCCTTCCTTTGTTTCACCAGGAGGCACTTTGAGCTGAAGGTGTACCGGCAGGTTCAACCTAAGGAGAGCCAGATCAGCAAGAGCAGCGTGTCCAAAGATATCCCAGCAAACGTCTAACTCTGTAAACAGACAAAAACTGCACACCTCACATACCGAGCAGGGATCAACAAGGACAATACTATAGCACTGTTAAAAATGAACGCCTCTCCATCGCTGTAGCTTCAGCTGATTCCTACGTCTGTCATTTCATGTGTTCTAGCTACAAAACTGCATGTGTACGACAAAATCTCAAGATACATGCAGTCAAGATACATGCACTCAATTAAGTATTTGCTTGAAAGCTCTGGGTTCGACCTTGCAGGGTGAAAGGCGGTAAAGACAGGTCAAAATGAGGATCTGATTTGTTAAATGTATGTAATATTCATGTAACCTCTTCCCTCTCCATTTTAGGAGTTCTGCACCATCCAAAAGGAGAGGGAAGTTTCCCCCTTTTTTTTTAGTTATTAAAGAGGTTTCATTTTTCCAGAACACTGTAGCGCACATGTTCTCTTCAGATCTGATTTTATTCACCCTTAGGAAGTCAAAAATGTCCCAAACACTCCCACAAACATGTGATATACACAGTGTTTGCTGGATTGCAGATCAACTTGCACACAAGGAAAATTTTAATGTTATTCCCCCTGTAAAGTATTATGTAATAACACAAACAAAACTAGTCAAAGATCAGTTTTGCGACGCTCATGAAGGGCCTCAGTGACACTTTGTTTTATGAGGGTGTGACATCAAGGAAATAAAAATGAATTAACAGCTTGTGAATGCTCAACAAGCAACCACGATAATGGATGTGGTTTTCATCACTTTTAAATCGTGCTTGGTGGGTCATAAAACGTGAACTGTTTTTAGGTCAGTGACACTCAGAAACTGGACTTTTGTAGTTGATCCGCAGGTTTACTAAAAACTGTGTTTTTTTACTTAAGTGTATTGCATTCACTTACAAAAAAAAAAAGAAAACTGTTTTTTTGGGGTATTTTTTTTTCTTTCTGTTTTTCTATTTTTTTCTTCTTCTGTTTTTTGTACTAATATTTTCTTTTTCTGACAAATTATTTTTTTCTGTCTTTCTTTTCTTTTAGGACTATTTTTTTCCCTTCCTGACTAAGCGCGATACTTAAAAAACCTGTGAGAATATCATACAATCAGGTAATGTTAACCACCACGGCTGCTCCAAATCAGTGGATTCTCCAGCTCCCAGATAACTTTGACTACGAGGTCAATGAGAGTAAAGCATGTTATTAAACATAGGGTATGTAAATCCTGAGGTGCCTGCGCAAAGTAGACAAACTTGTGACGACTCCATCTAACGGACTTAAAGAAAGGAGTATCTCCCAGTGTCTCAAACAAATAAGAAATTAAAACTTGATTAAACTAAACAAGTGGGCCATGTTTGCTTCCAATAAATTGAGCAGAGGGGGAAGAAAGTTTCTGTTTTTAAATGACCATGACCCCAGAGAATAGGAAAAACAATTAGTCTGAAAAACAAAATAAACAAACAAAAAAAAAGTCTGAAGAGCAAAAATTAGCCAAAAAATTACTCTGGAAAAAAAAAAATCAGTTCGAAAAACAGAAAAAATTCCTCTGAAAACAGAAAAAAAAATAGACCGAAAATCAGAAGAGAAAAATTCTCTGAAAAAGTTTTTGTTGTTGAATGCAATACGCTTCTGTATTTTTTGATATAAGTTGCACATTTTTATTTTAAAACATGCGTTTCTTTTTTGATAATGTAGCTTTGTATTAAAGATTGTGTATGAAACCACTCCATATTTTATAAAGTCCATTCAGATACATCAAGGAAAGAAATGTACAAAGAGTCAAACACAGAGCAGCAGTCAGGTTGTGCCTTGTTTCATGAATGACCTTTATTTTATTTTTTTTACAAAATACAAAATTTTGGACAAATGCCACACACTTCTGCATCGCACAGGCCATCCCACATTCTTGACACAACATATCATGTTTTTGTTGACATCTTCTCTTGCTGCTTTCACTATTTACATCCAAATACGTTGCTTTTCAGTAGGTTCCTATTAAAAAAAACTTCACCTTTCACTGTTGTTATTTTCTTCTTTATCTTTAAATGGTTTGATATGCAAACACTGGGGGGACTGGGGTTATATTGTAAGCCTGGCCTCTATGAACACTTGTCATGGTCCTATACTGTATTAAAAAGTGTATGAATTTATCTTCAAACCTCTCCGAGTGATGGTGACAGCTGATCTACAACTTTGTATAAGAGGTCGCTTTTGTTATAGTGAGTTCTTAACGTTAATACAACAGTTTCTGTTTATTTCTAATACACCTTTACAGCGATTCTCCAAACAGTTTTTGGTCATTTTTAGTCTTTTTTCTGCCTGTGAGCTTGTTTCAAAACTTATTTCACATGTATATGACAAAATTTAGAAATTTTTAAAGTACGCTTTAAAATTTTTCCTTCGCAATTCAAACCTTTAAAATCCAACTTGCGTTGCTCTTTATGCTCCACCAGATTAACATTTTAAGTTAGCCTCTTGTTTCAAGCTATTACTCATCAATAAAAACACGTGTTAAACCCGACTGAAAGAAATTAGAGCAAATTGAAAGTGAACAGACAACCTTAAAAAGTACAAAAACGCTCAAATGAGAAGTTAATGCATTTTGTGCGTCCTGCATCAGGACCAGCTTCTCTCTCTGTAACAGTTCAAACTCAGTCTGTGATTTCGCCGCAGCTGTTTTAGCAGAAACATTTTTTATATTTCGCGCCTTAGATATTCTCTGACCTCTATAAACAGGCTGTGGACGGACACTCTTCCAGAGAAATCAGCAGAGGCGATGTCTTGTAATTAAGCACATAAAGTTAAAGGTGAGGTTGCTTGGTGTTAACTTACAGGCTCCTCGCGATGGTCAGCACTGTGAAGCAGTAAAATGTTAAGCTTGTTGAGAACTTGTCCCTCAGCGTCCATGCAAAATCACCGGCCTTCAGTGCAAGTCCAGTTCAAAGATGTAGTCTCCTTCAGAGTTTCCTTGCAAGCTGAGGCAATTTCAGTCTCAAATACACATGATCCTCAACAACATAGACACCTTGTGAGAGGGAGGAGACATTAACTCTGACCAGGGCTGCAGAGATTTCTCTCTAATCCGATACATACCCTGTCATTCGACTGAGTTTCAGTCTGTCGCCTTGGAGTGTCAAAGTCAAGTAAGTAAATCCAAGAAAAAGGTGCTTCCTCATCTCCTTTCCTTCACATCTTTAGTCTCTGACCTTTCACTTTTATTCGCAGAGGGGTTTCTGACACTCGAACAGTAGTGGGTAGACCTGCTCCACAGCTGTGGCCACATTCTGCACATTTGGTCCTAGCCGATGGGATGACAGTGGGGGGGTGGAAGTAGAGGGTGGAGAGTGGAGGATGAGCATAAGAAGAAGTTTTGAGTGAAATAAAAACTAAAAATGCAAGAAACTCTAAGACAAGAAAAGCAGATACAAGAGTACAGGGAACAAAATAATTCCACTTGAGTCAGATTAGGGTAATTGAGTGACATGCAAAAAAATATTTCACCCTGAGTAAAAATTCCTTAAGGATTTGGGTTATTTACAAACCGCTTTTCTGGTTATTACAAGCCATAAGGGGACATTATGTAAGCATGGCCTCAATCCTTTAAGCTGATGCACCCCCAGCTGTACATAAAGGAGGGTGAAACAGGTCAGCAAGTGTGTGTGTGCACATGGGAGAGTGAGGTACCTGTAACTGTGATGCTGCCGGTAGAGAACACCTGAATAGTGGCCTTGAGGTTTTTGATCCTGTACGTGGCGGCGGGATGTAGTTCTGGTTCATAACTGACAATACAAAAGAAGAAATGGTCAAGAGTCATCCACTAAGGGTTAAACAACACCTCCAGCTACAGCTCTAAGGATGCACCACTTCATAGTGGATGGATCAATCTTCTATTTGACTTCATTTAAATGCACAAATCAGAGGCTGAAACACACTGGTGCATCCTGTGCACACATGCTAACCTGACTGGTCTGTGTTTCCACCACTAGAGGGCACCCTTTCCTTGCAAATACTAAACTGCTCAAGGTAAAACATCAACTGGTCTCACGCAAAACTTCAGGGAAAACTAACAGACTGCTGCAACAAGACGTTTTTATCCGGTTCTACTATTTCAAACTTTATGTGAGTTAAAATATAACAAGAAAAAATACAAAGGAAGAGGTCAGAAATCAATATCTTCGCTCTATTGACTTATTGTAATGTGTATCCCAGGAAAACAAAAATCTCAAGAAAAAAAAAAAAGATCAATAGTAGATTACTATGATAGGAAAAAAAGGGCTTGAAAAGTAGTAACGAATCTACAAACACATTTAACAGGAAACTCTCTTGAACTAAAAGACGGATGGGATTTAAAAACGGATGTTACTATTGAAGAGGAAGAATGGGAGGAGGTGTGCGAAAAGGGTCACAAAGTAACAAATAGTCCATCATGGAAGGAATTTAATTGGAGAGTGAAAATGAGATTTTTTTAGGACACTGGTAATTGTGTCAAAACATGATTAAAACAAATCAAATTTATGCTGGAGAGACTGCAAACAGGTTGGAGATTACAAACATATTTTTTGGGATTGCCCAAAAATGAAATTCTTTTGGAACGGGTTTCACACAGAAATCCTCTCAATACTGAACATTGATTTACCCATAGATCCACTGTACTTTATTATAGGTCTGATCCCTAAGGGGACTATGGAAAAAACAGTAGGTCAATTTCGTTGCATATGCTTCTAGTAATAGCCAGAAAAGTGGTCACAGCAAAACTCAAACTGAGAATGAAGGAGTTTCTTATTGTATGGGCATATGTCATTTCCTATTTAAAAATGCCAGCACAATGAGACCAAGAAAGCTCCTTTTCCTGCATGGGTGTATATATTTCCAATAGAGCTACCCATCTCAATTTATGACGTGTATGTGACGTAGGAGAGACTGGGTAGGAGGGGGCAGGAGGGCATCTATGGGGAGAAGGAAAAAGTTCAGGGTTCCTACGCGGGTATGGAAATAAATGCGATCAATTTCCAGGTCTTAAAAAGTATGGACTATGAAAAATAAAGTATAGAAAAACATTTATGTTTCCAGAATATTACCCCAGATCTAAAATACTGTTTTCTGATATAGAAAACTATGTATTTCCAAAAATAATTCTAAAAAGTAGGGTATGGAAAAGTATGGAAATTCCAACTGCGTAACTTCTGTGCTAACTTCACCCTCAAACCTTACTTTATTAAATTGTTCTTCATTCATATTTTATGTCAATATTTTGGTTTTATCAATATTTTTTTTTCATGCGATGCAAATAACAATGTAGACATGTTTGCTGACTGTAAATAGTTCTGTTCTCACTGTTAATAAAATTGTTTTTTAAAAAAAATGTTACGATCGGTGCGATTATTCATAAACTTATGCAATTTGAGATTCTGGACTAACATGTGGATGATACTTTAGATTTGGATTAGCATGATGATCCTGATCATGGAGCTTTTTTTTACCTTGCGATTGGTCGGTTGTTCTTAGTGAAGTCTATGAGGTGGATTGCAAAAGGCATGGAGCACACAGCCAGCACGTTCACCACTTTGAAGGCTGAAAACCTCACCTGTTTGGACAAAAAAAATGAAACGCACACAAAGACTCAGACACATTCAGGGATGTTACACGAGAAGACTTATTTGGCTCCTGCAAGCATTCCTACATGTTGGTTTCATTTACATTGTCATCCAATCTGCTTTATAAATCTTTAACCTAAGCAGCATTTCATTTTTCTAAAAAACTGTTGAAATCTTAAAGCAAATGAGAAACTAGGAGAAACGCCGACATGCCTATTTGTAAGGTCTCAAGAAGCAAGAAGTTTATTTCATGCTCTGATTATTTAGAAATACTGGAAAAATAAACTGTTGGTATGCTAACAGTCCTGTGTAAAATGTTGACAAAAACAGAATTTGATGGTCTGCAAATCACTTACAGATTACTGAAAATAGTCCAAACACGACATGATAGATGTTGAAACTCAAAAATATATGCCCATTTTAAATTTGCAACACATTTCAAAACAGTTGGAACAAGGAGAACAAAACACTGAGAAAGGTTTTGATGCTAAAAAATAACACCTGGAAAAAATCTGGTTAACTTGAACGAGGTCAGTAACCCGACTGGGTATATGTCAAGCTGCACATTCAATCACATTTCCAGCATGACTGCAGAGCATTAGCAATGATCACAATGCAAATGTTTGAATTGATTACAATAAACAACAAAAAGTACTTTTTTAGTAAACAAGCTATGCTTTTTCACTCATCCTGTGTTCTGACCTATTACTGGATAAAGGCCTGGGTAAACTGGCCCAAGCTATCACACCTTCTGTTAAAGCTAGGCTCATCTATCTTAGATAGAAGAGCCTAGAAACTGTGAGTAATAGCTCACATGCATTCTTTCATTTTGTATCTTACCTCACTTAATATCACAACTGCAAAATGGATCAATGTTATTCCACATTACAAATTTGTCTTATATCATGCAGGTCCACAGCAGTGAGTGATTTTTTCGTACCTTGAAGCCCAGTTTCTGCAGACAGCGTGCTAACCTCCGGGCACCCTGCTTTGCTTCATCCTCACTGAACAAAAGAGGAGAGCAGGAGTGAGAGCCAGCATGAAAGAAAGAGGAACTGTGGGTTCATGGCACCAACAAACAAAGTCATTACTGTGTGAGCTCCAGTGTCGGCATTGTATAAGAGACAGGTGAGACAAATGGTAATGAGGCTGCATTATTGGTTAATAGGAAATCTTGCTCCAACTATCCTGCAACAGCAATAATGAGGCCAGACAGCTGAGGCCATGCGCAACCAATAATTCTCTCATCAGAGGAAAATAATGATCTTTTGGCAGCCAGCATATCCATTTATTTTGTGCGCTTGCTAAGTGAGAGTGTCTACCTTGTTGCTCCAGTGCAGATTATTTTCCCTGAGGACCAGATTGAGGCTGTGATCTTGGGTTTACGGAGCTTCATCAGGACTTTCTGCAAATGAAAAACAGAGGTCGAAACTAAATTAACACCAACTGCCCCTAACATACATCCCTGATAATGCAGCAAAGGTGGACTGCTTGGTGTCTTCCTCACCCCTACTTCCGGCTTGTAGATGACATTGGTTCCTTCCAAGGCAATGGTGCGCAGGTTGAGGTGGCACCTGGTCCTGAAGGTTGCCACCACATTGGAGACGATGATATCCAGAGCGTCATCGTTGGAGGAATCCATGAGGAAGTGTGCGGTGCAGCAAGAGGACCACAGGCGCTCTCTCCTCCTTACACATAGACCATCAACACTTCCATCTCCACTGATCCACCGCTGGACAAGAGACAACAAGCTGGATAATAAAGGAAAAATTAGGATTTTAGAGTTAGGGAATAATGTGTAAGCACAAATGTTATAACAGTAGATTTATAGACTTATGGATTATTCAAACACATACTATGAAAGGTGAAACTACATCATATATTTGCTAGGGCTGTCCCAATACGATATTGATATCGGATATCCGATATCAGCCAAAAAAAAACAAACCCCAGCCTTCAACTAAAATCTCCACTCTGCGACAAGCAGTCCATTCCAGACTCCGCTCTGGCACCTCTCTCTAGCAGCGCCCTGATCCAGCATACAGAGCCCACATAATCACAACAACAGTGTGTACTAAGGTACTAACAAAATAGCTAGGAGTAGGAGTGATGGAGTGTGGAAGTATTTTTCGTTAAAGTCTGAAAGAGACATTGCAGCTGAGTGCAAAACTTGTCATGCACAATTTTGTGCCAAAATCAAACAAATATCAGTATCAGCAGATACTGAAGGATACAATATTGGTATAGTATTGGAAGTAAAAAAGTTGTATCGGGACACCCCTAATATTTGCTTCAACATTTCACAAGTAACAAGAAGATGGACTGCAGTTTGCACACACAGCACAACTAGCTAGCACACAAAGTGAGTCCATGTGAGTTAAAGCTGTGTTCACACATAAATATATATATATTTTTAAAGTTAAAATATTATGATAGATGCATAACTTGCCACCTTAGTTACAGCACCTAAGCACCCTTGTGGTTAAGATACAGGATTGAGACTCAAGACACAGATCACACAAACATCTGTAAGATATCAGAGTGGATGTACAATCATTAATTAGAAAAAAAAAAACACCTTTTAAATGCATTTTAATGACATTAAAGCCATGTAATAATTTGAGCTTACCCTTAACAGAGAAGCTAACATATCAGGCTCTTTAAGCCTTGGGTAAATAATGCAAAAAAGGCCAGTGACATCCAGGGATGGTTTTTGGAAATAAAGTTACTCATGCAGCTCTTGATCTGAGTCTCTCTGACAGAAAAGTAGCAGCAGGTAAGCTGTATTGAGTAGTACATAACAATGGGTAACTGGAAAGTAAATTGCCTTATAATAAGCATGATTGTTTCCTGATAAGATGAACACCTGAATCTTTTGTAGCACTGCAGAACATCCCCTAAGATGCAAAAAAAAAAAAAAATAAAACATAGTTGAAAGAATCAGAATTCCTGTATATAGTCAGACCCTGGTTCCTGTAAGAACCCTAGTTTCTGCAATCGAAAAGCATTTACACACCTTAGAGAGGCTACACTCTTAATATTACACAATATGCACTTGTTTCTCATAATGTGTTGAAGTTTTGTGTCTTATTTATGTAAATATGTAACTGTCTTTTGTGTTTGCTGCCTCTTGGCCAGGACTCCCTTGAAAAAGAGGTTCTCAATCTCAATGGGATATTACTTGGGTAAATAAAGGTTAAATAAATAATAAATAGAATTACAGCTGAAGAATTGGTTCATTTTGTCAAAATGCAGAAAAAGGGCGATATCACATCATTTCCCCATTTTCTAGACTATGCTGGACCAAGTGCTGATCCAGAACCACGACACTTGGACTTCTCAGATCTGGACTAAGTTATTCTAGGAAGGCTGTTATTTTTGCCCGCAGTTTAACATTAATGTGTGGAAAAAAACAACATATTTTAGAGCTTCGTTGGAAGCGGTAAATAAGATGCCTAATTCAGCGGCATGAAAACAGTCTAAACATACAGTATAGTCAAATAGTTTCAACTAAATGATACTGTTTTAATGTCGTTACAGCTGCCACAGTGATGAAACCCTGTTAGAAATGATGCTAGCTGATCGTACAGGCTGTGTTACTGTCAACTATCCGCTTTAAATACACTTTATTGTTCAATTAACGTGATAACATTAGTAAGCGTGCTGCTGTGACAAAACATAACACCCCTGAGACACCAGAAAAACAACAACTTGTCAGCAACTTCAGCCGCGCTAATGTTGTGAGTGAAGCTCTCAGTGAGCTAGCAACAAAGAAAAGTGCACCACTAGTAATGAATGAAAAGTTGTTAGCTAGGCTAGCTAGCAGGCTAGCTGTCTAACACCGCAGCGTAGTTTTAGTGTTTTCACCTAAACTAACGAGCAAATGGAAATCTATGTGTATGGAATGTTTCCTTAAAACCCCACGATATGCCTCAGACTGGTTCAGTTTTGTCGCATCGATACATTAAACAATCAAGTTAGCAGCTAAATTTGTGCACAGACCTCCTACTCCGTTGATCACCCTCCAGCAGGTTCAACCCTTTCCGGTTACACTTTTCAAAATAAAACTGCGCGAGCTTGTGCACTTCAAAATAAATGAAATTTCTGGTCCTAAAGGGAAATTTCTTCTGATGTAGAGATTTTTTTTTATTACATTATCATCGCAAAATGGGAGGGTAATCATAAACACAGAAATGGTTACATTTTTTAAAATAATAATATTTAGGTATTTTCAGTTTATTTAGGAGGGTAAAATCTTCTTGAACTTACAGTGAATTAAAAAGATATCTGTCATTTTTTGGCAAAAACATTTTTTATTAGCTGCAAATTCAGTTAAAGAAATGGGATCACATTTAAAAAAATAATTGATTTTTATTCTTCATTTATGTGTAATGCAGTCCCCGTAATTTTTTTCTCAATATATAAAAATAAGACATTGTTCTGACTTAAATGCGGTTATATGTTGAACTAAATATCTCATATTTTCACTCAGGTTTTTAGTGATGACAGTGAACATGACCTTAAGTGTTTGGGTTTTGTGTTAAAAGTTGTATTGTCATCGGTCTATGTGTAAATGGGTGCTGTTAATTATATGTTACCTTAGCAGTTTTTTTTTGTCTTAGTTACATAGTCGAACAAATGCTTTAAAGTCAAAGTTTAACAGCCAATTATGGACCTATAGATGCATTTTTTCACTTAAAAAACTGGGAATTATAGACAAAAAAGGTGGCTAAAATCAGCCATGAGGATGCTAAATACTAATGTGGTGGAGATGTGCTGCGTCACAAAAAATGAGTCGTAGAAAAACAGTTTATGTTGTCATTGATGGTCTAGTTTGCTTTTTGGGTAAAATATGTGTTAAATATTTTTTACAGATGTCAAGAAAAAAAAATCCTCACAGGAGCTTGAAGATTTAATTTGAACTTCTTTGAGGTAAGAGAGCCCAAATTTTACATATCAACGTGTACGTGGTTTTTATTCCTCTTTCTAGATCTTCTCAAAAACACAGAGCCAGTGGCTTTGACAAGCAATGGCTCAATCAATTTACCTGGCTCAGGCATACTGAGGAAGGCATGCACTGCTATTTATGCCAAAAGCACTGTACCCCAACACAGCAGGCAATTGCTGCCTCCTTAGTGAGACAGCCATCAACCAACTACAGGCTGGACACATTAAAAAGACAGGAGGTGACAGCCGTTCACAAAGCAGCAGAAGAGAAGGAGAAGTATATTAAAGATGGTAGTACCTAAAAAAACTCAACTAATAAAGTTACAAAAACTAAAATAATATAGTTTATACAGTTAAAGAAATAATTGGTTCTCTTTTTTTTTAGGGAGGACACTGCAGCGTATACATATATATATAATATATGATTGAAAACACTATCACTCTTCATGTCTGTATCAGAATAAAAACAAAAATACTTAATGCATGATGAATTGTTTTGTTTAAGGTGAAGACACCTCTGCGGGACAGACTGAAGGAGAGGCACTTGGATGTCTGTTGTAAGGTGGCCGTTGATGGACCAGACCAGGAGGCCTTGGACTACAAGGAGTGCATGAGGAGGTTCTACAGAATGAAAAAGAGGAGGCTGAAATGTTCTGTCTGGTTGCGAGATGTGTGGATGAAGTGTACTTTCAATTTAAAGTTGCCAGCTGATTTGTGTATGTATATAGTTTTAATAAATGAATGCTTTAACATGATAATGGTCACGCTCTTTTTTGAACTCTTAACTTAAAGTATGTTGCCCATGCCGTCGTGGGCATGGTAAAGTTAGCATTTTTGTGTACTGTAGCCTACAATTTATTTGTTGATACATTTAAACTCCGAGCTGGGATATAGACGCAAAGTAGCTGCTGTTTACAAATGATAACCTTTTAAGTTCTTCTGCTTCAAATTAATCAACATTTGGTTTTAAGGGTCCTGCAGTCTGTTTCACCACATCCAGTTTAATAAATCTGTGCGTTTTAATGGGTTAATTAATGTTATTTGTATACCTAGACTTTCAAGAAAGTTTAATGCTCTTGAGCACTTCCTTTCATACATACATCTTTAATGATTTCCACTATTTATTTCACTTACACTGTTAATTAGAGCTAGTTACTATTACCAAACATTTAATCAGAATACACTGGAGGTGACCCAGCAGTTTATTCAGGCCATATCTTCTTTGCAGGGAATGTTTTTTGCATTCACTGTATTTAGGTAGCTTTAATATGTGTCTGTATCATTACAACGGGAAGTACCTCAGCAACTTAGGGACCATGACTACGCCAAGGAAAGGAGAGCCTTAGCACGCCATGCAGGGAGAAAGCCCACATGCTTTTGCTGTAGGAATGATCAGGTAGGACTCTTTATATTTATATTTTGGTAGAGAAAAAGTTCAAACTCTGCAAAGTGTGACAACTGCAAGGGAAGTTATGTGTGCAGTACTGTATGGAGGACCACAGGTGTTACAGGGCATAGGTTAAATCAAAAAGAGTGTCTTCAAAAAACAAAAGTGACATTCTGAACACATCTTATCTAAAACTTCAAATTAAGTGAATTCTTAGACAGTTCGACACACCTGGGACTCATTTTTACACTTAAATGACAGTCATAAGTATTTGAGTTTTTCTCATCAGCCCCTTGTTTTATTTAGAATAACAAAATTGTATTTTCCCCTAAATTTTCTAAAACTCAGATTTTTGATATCTTGTCAGAAAATGTTATCAGCACCTTTGTGCTACACAAAAATTGTTCAAAAATGTATAAAAATGCTGTCTATTGAAACTTGTTTCCTTTTGACTCTGTAAAGACCTGACATGTCTCTAAAAATAGACTTATGGACTTAAACTTTTAATCCATTTTATTGAAAACTGGTACAACTACATTGCCGATTATAATTAACTGGTGAGATTGTTTAAGTTAGTTTCTAATGTACTTGAGCCTGAAATCTTGTTTGTTGGATTTACTTTGCAGGATTCTCAACACCACCATTCAGCTTGTGCTGGCAGCCAGCCTAAGAAGAGGAAGAGGACCTCTGCGGTCCGTACTTCTGATTCTGCAGGACTGACCAAGGATCCTGCACCTCAGCAATCCCAAGTGCACATTGCTGCTGATCCTCCTTTGGTCCCAAGGCCTCAGCCAACAACTGAACCATCTGAGCTGCCTCAAGTCTTCCCTGTGGTTCACCATTCCCAGCCCCCCACAACTCCACAGCTGGATGACGGCCCACTGATAATTCACCATCAGTCAGTGGAGGAGTACCAGCAGCACTACCACGCCGTGGTAGATGACATGCTCCAGTATGTATCAAACAAAAAACAAGAATCCATCACGATAACAGACCATGATGGTTAACACTTGAACAAACATTGAGATTTAAACTACTTTCCTCTCCTATCCACAGGTACAAGAATGGCCGTCAGCGTCCCTACAGCCTTGCACTGGGACGTCTTGTCAAGCAGAAGCTGTGGGAACGATTGGATCGTCCACAGTTCACTGAGACTGTGGATGACAACGGACTTGTCTGCGAAAACACCAGCTACAGGGTTGGAGTTTATCCACCGCTGTACGACGTGGACACGTCCCACGAACCAATGCCAAAGACTTCACCCAGAAAGAGAGTGAGGACATGAAAGTCTCCTTGTTTTATTTAGAATAACAAAATTGTATTTTCCCCTAAATTTTCTAAAACTCAGATTTTTGATATCTTGTCAGAAAATGTTATCAGCACCTTTGTGCTACACTTTTTAAAAAATTGTTCAAAAATGTATAAAAATGCTGTCTATTTAAACTTGTCTCCTTTTGACTCTGTAAAGACCTGACATGTCTCTAAAAATAGACTTATGGACTTAAACTTTTAATCCATTTTATTGAAAACTGGTACAACTACATTGCCGAATATAATTAACTGGTGAGATTGTTAAAGTTAGTTTCTAATGTACTTGAGCCTGAAATCTTGTTTGTTGGATTTGCTTTGCAGGATTCTCAACACCACCATTTAGCTTGTGCTGGCAGCCAGCCTAAGAAGAGGAAGAGGACCTCTGCGGTCCGTACTTCTGATTCTGCAGGACTGACCAAGGATCCTGCACCTCAGCAATCCCTGGCACACGATCCTCCTGATCCTCCTTTGGTCCCAAGGCCTCAGTCAACAAGTGAACCTTCTGAGCTGCCTCAAGTCTTCCCTATGGTTCACCATTTCCAGCCCCCCACAACTCCACAGCTGGATGACAGCCCACTGCAAATTCACCATCAGTCAGTGGAGGAGTACCAGCAGCTCTACCACGCCGTGGTAGATGACATGCTCCAGTATGTATCAAACAAAAAAATAGAATTCATCACGATAACAGACCATGATGGTTAACACTTGAACAAACATTGAGATTTAAACTACTTTCCTCTCCTATCCACAGGTACAAGGATGGCCGTCAGCGTCCCTACAGCCTTGCACTTGGACGTCTTGTCAAGCAGCAGCTGTGGGAACGATTGGATCGTCCTCAGTTCACTGAGACTGTGGACGACAATGGACTTGTCTGTGTAAACACCAGCTACGGGGTTGGAGTTAATCCACCGCTGTACGACGTGGACACGTCCCACGAACCAATGCTAAAGACTTCACCCAGAAAGAGAGTGAGGACATGAAAGTCTTCACTCTCTACTTGTGAATATGGCTGTTTTAACTCCGAGTTAAAACTTGTAAATATTGTAAATACTGTAGTTTAAGTTACTGTAGTTTAAGTTAGTTTAAGTTTAAGTTAAGATAGGAAAAGTAGTATAAGTATAAGGGGAAAAAATTAAGAACTGCCTGAAACAAAAAGTCCTCTCTGAAAGCAACTCAAAACACCTCAGCCGTCCTGCACCTTGAGCCTCCTCTAAACTCCTGACTTGACTAACAACCATCTCTGACCAGACCAAAAATGACAAACTATCAAACCTGCCTCCATCCTGTCCTCCAACATGTGCCAGCAGCTTTTACCATCTTAGCGCTGCACATTTGCCAACCTCCATCTCAAGCCTCTAAATAAGAACATCTGCCTCCTCTTGCAAAAAAAATGAAAATGGCTGCCTCCACCTGCAGCCTCCACCTCCTCCTCCTGCTCAAAGGTAAATATCTCCAATCAATTAAATCCATGTGCCTCCACCTGTTCATGGACTGCCAATGCCTTAAATCCAAACTTCTTTACATTAACAGCCATCACCTATGATTGCAGTCTCAGCCACACATCAGCAGCCACTTACTTCAACTGCAACCTCGACAAGCACATTGGCTCAACCATCCCTCTCTGCTAACAACCTTGAGCCACATCCAGGAGTGCACCAGTAGCTTGACACCAGCAGCCTCTCCCTCCAATAATATGGAAAATAGATAGCAAGCCAACCCAAGACTCTCTTGGCAAAATATAGCTACCTCCGCCATCACCAAACAACAAGCTGCCTTCAATGCCTTGATGTCACAGACTGAGACTGAAGTGCAAAGCCTCTGCCCAAGCAATCTACACCTGCCTCCACCTGCGGATCTGGGCCAAAGATTCAGCCTCTACCTCCAGCTGGTCCTATGCAGCACATTTAAAGCTAGATTAACCAACCAAGACCTCAATCGGCACTTGCCAACTCCAGCACTGCCTGTAAACGTGACTGAAAGCTGCAGCAAAAGCCCCGTCCTCAAGTAAATGGCATTCAAGAACCACCTCAACCTACAGCAACTCTCCAAGAAGTTGTAAGTGATAAAAACTGTGCGTTCTAACAACAACTCACACTTATATAGCCATGTTGCTAAGTTACCTTATTTACGTAGTAGCCTGTAAACCATTAATTGAGGACTGAAGGTCAAAGCATCACTTTCAGTGTTGTCTATCCAGCTATTGACCTCTGGTCACTTCTCTTCACAGCAAACGCTCCAAGTAAATATCAGCTGCAGCCGCAACTTCTACCTGCACAACATCAAAGAGCTGTTACCAAAGTCTTCACCTCAAGTCTCATCCTGAAGCCTGGAATGGCAAACTGAGCTGCTCAGTCCAGTCTCATCAACTGAAGGTATCATTAATGCCTAAAACTCAAGCCTCCCTCACCCAAAATTGTGGTATATGGCTGCACTAATGCTTCCTATTTCAACCTCAGCTACACAAAAACATCTACAAAAACAACTTAAAGCTTCTTCGAAGAACCAGCAGCCACCAACTCCCTGATAAAGACCTGGAAGCTGCCGCCGTGTGAAGCTGTATCCTTGTCTCTGGATCCTTGCTGGTATTGTACAAACTCTCTAATGCACATCACTTTGAGCGAAAGTATCTGTTATATGACATTGTGACATTGTGCTGCAGGTGCCGCCAACTCAAGCCCAAGCCTGTACCAGGAACCTGCCTACACCTCCAGTTCCAGACGATGCTTGCAATCGACAGTCAACAAAGAAGAGCCTTAAGTTTTCTGCTGTAGCCTCTGCCAGAGACCATGGGTGTAAACGTCAACCTGTGCAAAATGAAAGACAGCTGCTGCCTCTACCTCCAATTCAGCCACTCCCAGCAAACGTCACCTGTCTTAACCGGCAGTTTGTGACTTTCAACCACAGGATCTGACAAACACTGACAGCACATGACACCACTCACATTTTACAGCTTAAAGTCCAAGCCTATACCTCATATTCAGTCTTGGCTAATATTCTTCTTTGTTTCCATTGCTTGCAGCTCCAGTTAGCATTCATCAGCTTGCCGCTCTACCTGAAATTTGTGGCCTCACCTGCAGCATGACCTCCAACCGAAGCCATCACCTCCGGCCGCTGCCTCCACCTGCTGAATCTACTATCAAATGTAAGGTATAAATCAAATGCTGTAGCCTGTAGTTGGTGTCTGTTGGCCTCCTCCTCCAAATATCAATCATGTCTCCACCTGCAGCACTAACGGGCAGTGTTTGATGTAAGCCATGCCAGAAGCCAATGCCAGCAGTCTTTAGTCCCTGTCTCCACCTGCAGCCTATACCTCTATCTGCATTATATATGGTAAATAATACTCATGTATATATCTTTTTTTTAACTCTAAAGTCTCTTTATCCTTTTATTTCTCTTTTTGTGTTTGTATTTATGCTGCTGTAATTTGGAATTTCCCATGGGACTAATAAAGGAATATCTTATCTTATTACATGAAAAAAAGCTGCTTCCTGCGCCTTCAACCCATTCCTGCTAGCAAAATGAAGCCGAATTCCATGCCTCCATCTTGGGCCTCTAATAAACAGCAACTGCATCTGCTGCCTCCAGTTGGTGCCTTTGTAAGGATTGTGAGGTACCAATTTGCCCTAAGCCTTAGCTAAAAAAAAATCCTCTTTGATAAAAACAATTAATTTATTTATAAAGTGCTTTCCATCAAAGTGCTGCACAACAAGTAAAATATGAGGAAAAAGCAGATTAAAACAAAAACAAGTCAAAAGCAAATTACAATCATGATGGTAACCATGAGTCTCATGCTTTACTTCTTCATTACTTGCATGCCTTTCAGCTACAGACAACCCTCCACAGAAAATGTTTCTACTTTAAAGACTTAGAGCAAACTGAGCAGCTGACTCCATCTATACCACCTGTGAAAGAAACCAAAAGTCTCCTTGAACATTAAAAAGCTACCTCCAAGACCTCCAATTCTCAGCAACCTTCAACTGAAGCCTCCACCAGTAGCCTTGAACATCCATCTGTATGTTGAGATCTGCAACCGAAACTTGAGATCTATACTTATTGTATTATTCCTGTGAGGGTTTGACCCAGTAAAACTCAATTAAAAAAGCAGTTCAAAATCTGTAAATTGCCTTTCCTGGGTGAAATATCTGTAAACTGTATCCTGCTGTTTGACATAATATTAAATTTCCCTTAAATCTTCAATACATCAAATGGCTTGTTGTCATGTTTTTGAGGCAACAATTTTCAACAATTTGAGTTGGAAAGACAGCTCACTGGAGGTAATAAGGAAGGTCATCTTTAAAATATGAATATCATTTTTACTCTGATAATCCAGAGCACGCAGTGCTGCCTGACACATCAACAGAGATGCCTACCATGTTGTTGTAGTCTTGCAAAAGTATTACATATAGCTAATAAAAATTGTGGACATTTAGGGGTTGCTTAGGAGTTGGAAGCCGCTCTAGGTCCTCATGAGATACATTTTACCAAAGGACTTTAGGTGCCCTGAAGGTCAAGTGCATGTACGTTTCAAGACCACTAAGAATATTTTTATTCAACATTTACATAAATAGGAGTTAGAGCATGTAATAACACACAAACATTCCCAAAAAGCATTTTTAAAATTCACTATAAAGCAAAGATATACAAATGTACATAGCATATTTCTAGACTCAATGGCATAAAAATGTATATATTGTAAGCAATATTGCATTATTAACCAGGCCTTTTAAAGATCTGCTAGGATTGCAGATTTGATGTAATCTAGCACATTAGAAATCTGCTCGATCCCTGTCAGAGGTGAGCCTGTTCAACCACGGTATCAGATCAGACTGCCATAGTTGGCATTACACAAAGCCAGTGTTGAGGTATCCATACCTGAGAGCTGTTTGCATCTACTGTCCAAACAAAATTTTGCCAATTTCATCATGTCGCCCACTATGACACAAGTACTTATCTCTGTATCTATTCCCAGGCTAAATTAAGCTTTAGATCCTTCTTGCACTAGCACCACAATGGCCATTATATCACAGCTTGTGATAAGAGCAGAAGATATTGAGGAACTTCTCTTGGTCTGCCTTATATCACGGTAACAATATCAGTATAATCACCAAAATGTGGAGCAGAGGGGCTTGACCTGCTTCTTGTGAAATGATGGTGGAAGAAAAAATGGAAAATACTGGATGTACACTTTTCTGAATATCTGTACAAAATTAGCAAATGTTTTTTATTCCTACAACTCTGGTCCTTATAATGTCAGGAATTCCCACAAAAGCTTCCTCAGTTGAAGTTCAATGAAGTGTAGATTAAGATCATTATAATATTTTAAGTCTTAAAAACAAGGAGGAAACTTTGTTTAAGAAACTACTAACCTTCAAAACTTTTCAGTCCTTTCTGTACTGTTCCTATCTGTGTGTAAGCTACGTGCGTGAACACAGACTCCACAGCAAGCCAAACTCGTTTTCTACGAGCCAGGAAGCGAGCGCCTTGCTCCTTTATTTTCCAGTATAGCAGGTGAAAATCGTGTAAAACTGAAATAAACAAAATACAGACGAAACTTAGGAGCCTGACATTACCGTATTACACAAGCAACAGCCAGTTAGCCTATAACTAAAGTGACTAGCAAGTATCGCTAAGCTTATTAGCAAGGAAACGAACGTTAGCAAAGTAACGTGGTCACTAATACACATTCGAGTAAACGTTACCAACTATGCTCATAAAGCTTAACTTCATACAAGTACAAAATGCATATCATTATAACTTACAGACATTGCTGCCATGGGTGTGTGAGCGAAACAAGACTCGGGAAAGAAATATCTGACTGGAACTCATTACAAATAGCAACTAACGTGCATCTTACGTTCTGGCAAGTTCATCATGGACCAGAGGCTCATGGGATCGCTCAGATGTAAACAAAAACTCATGCCAAAATAAAGGCTCACCTTTACAGTACAAAATACTCATCTCTTTTCTTTTGCCATTAACAGAATGTTATCAAAGAATCATTTGTACCAAAAACAATTTGAATACATATTTCCTTTTCTTTTACTTTTAACCTGAGGACAGAACACTCCCCGTCTGGCATAACTAATGCCACTACTCAACTCAACTTTTCTGTATTCAACACACATTTACTTTAAACCCCTTTTTTTCAGTTTGTGCCTTTTTAGTCTCTTTCAAGAAGAAGGATGACGTCCGAGATGGGCCGCAGGTAAGTCTTTGAAGTGCCCTGAGATGCCGTCTGCACCTCGACTTTGCGGACTCGTCCATCGCTGCTCGGAGAGGCCGATGTGACCAAAGCCATTGGCCACTCGTTCCTTGGTGCTTGAGCCTGTTTCAGCAGCACAATGTCTCCAGGTTGTAGGTTGCGCTGAGCTCTGTGCCACTTGCGTCTTGAGTGGAGAGTACTCAAGTACTCAGTTCTCCAACGGCCCCAAAACTCATTCGCCAGCGCTTGTACTTGTTTCCACTGACCTTTCAGGAGATCCTTGCTGGTGAAGTCTCCAGGTGGAGCGTGTAGGCCTGGCTTTTGGGTCAGGAGCATAGCAGGGGACAGCAGAATGGGAGAAGAGGGGTCTGATGAAATGGGAATCAGCGGCCGTGCGTTGATGATTGCTGATATCTCCGCCATCAAAGTACACAGTACCTCGTGCGTCAGGTGAGTATGCTTGTTTTGCAAAAGCATAGAGTCTAGAATTCTGCGTGTGACCCCAATCATACGCTCCCACACTCCCCCCATGTGGGAGGCGTGTGGTGGATTGAACTCCCATGTGCAGTCTTTACTATGGAGATAACTCAGAATTTCAGTCTGCTTTTCCTCAGGACGGTCCATGCCCAGCTCTGCACTGGCGGCTATGAAGTTCGTCCCTCTGTCTGATCTGAGCTGCTTTGCCGGGCCTCTGATGGCAAAGAATCTTCGCAATGCATTAATACAGCTTGTGGCATCCATTGATTCTATAACTTCAATGTGTACCCCCCTGGTGTTCATGCACGTGAACAGAATGGCCCACCTTTTGCTCTGCGCTGCACCTCCTCGAGTGCGTCGGGTCATCACTGCCCACGGTCCAAATACGTCCAGCCCTACGTATGTGAAGGGTGGGGGGGTGTCGAGCCGCTCTGGAGGGAGGTCAGCCATTTTCTGTACTTCCAGCTTCCCTCTGAGCTTACGGCATGTCACACAATGATGAAGTGTAGAACTCACCAGTCTCTTGCCACCGACAATCCACAGTCCAGCTGCTCTGATAGCCCCTTCTGTGAACTGCCGCCCCTGGTGTTTCACTTCAGCATGATAGTGTTCTACAAGCAGCTTGGTTACATGGTTATGCTTAGGGAGGATGATTGGGTGTTTTACCTCAGTGTCAAGAGAAGCATGTCTGAGACGGCCTCCGACCCGCAGCAGACCATCACTCATGTAGGGGTCAAGGGTCAAGAGCTGACTCGAGCTAGAGACTTCTATGTTTGCCTGAAGAGCAGCGTATTCATCTGGATATGCATCTCTCTGAACAGTCTCTAGTATGAGCATCTTCGCTGCTGCGCGCTCCTCAGGAGTGCGAGGCCCACTGCACTGATGCCAGCCTTTGCATGTGTGCTGTGGTGTATCTGTTGTGTCTGGTTTGTGCGAACGCACCTGATGTTTCAAGTAGGAAACGGCTCTCAGCAGAGACTTCCATGTGGAAAAGCGCTGGAATCTCTCAGAGGTAAGTCTCTTAGTTTCAAGGTGGGTAGCTAGAGCAGTCACTTGTGGTCTAACTTCCACATCTGTTTCAGGATCTATCAGCTCGAAGTGCTCACGTTTCTCCATCTCCGGAGGCTTGTAGAGGAAGTCGGGCCCTTTAAACCACATCGTGTCCATGAGCTGTGATGCTGCTACAGATCTGGTGGCTAAGTCCGCTGGGTTCTGTGCTGAAGGTACGTAAT